GTAGGTGAATTTCCATACATGATGTTTTGGTCTACGTGACGGGAAATTCTTTAAGTAAATGTTTATTTCTAAACTATTGTTTTCTATTACACTTTTGGGCATTTCCAGTATAAAAGTAGACCTGCAGAGGGTCCTCCAACTTTCATATCGCAATAAGCGTAAATAAAACGCATGATGGAATATTTTTATATACGATATTTGCGTACACTTTGGCCGGGGGAACTGCGATTGCTTTGTGCCGCTTCTTTGCCTTTGTACGGAAAAATGAGTGTCGACGACATCGTTTGTCGGGCAAATTGAAATTTTATTATATAGTCAGCTTATGTGCGCCCGATATTGTGTGCCGGGCATAAATTCTCATTTTGTGTAACCAAACAACACAACGAGGACAACAACATCGAGATTAAGTTGAAGAAAAGTGGAAAGGAGCAGGTCGCTTGATTGAATTGACACTCCCTCACCAGAATCCGATTCTCGGTGAAACTACATACTTCTCTTCTTACTTTCCATAGCCCCACCTTTGACTCACCTTTGATATTTCAGGCGGGATAAAGAGCTGCCGCTCCAAATTGAATGAAAATATTGAAAAAAAAATGAAAACGAAGAAAAAGTGTAAAAATAATGTACAAAAATGATTCCCGTTGACTGCGCAATTTCATTTATTTGTGAATAATTTCATTTAGCCCATAATTTCATAACGTGCTGACATTTAAGAGCGGATAAGGGCCTTTTGGTGCTTTTGGTCAAATGAATTGGGGAATCCATTAGGCATACAACAAGGCGTGGCGCGTCGGAGCCCAAAAGGATACTCGTATCCTTTAGGCCCAGGACCCCTTGTTTATTCTTCAGCTTGTTGTAATTTTCCTATGCCCGCCAGTCTTTTTTTCCGTTTTTTTTTGGAGGTGGTCCGGGCAATTCCCCTGCAGGCCACCAGGCGGAAACTTTACTTAGGCCCTCGAATGGTTCCGAGTGGCTTTTTACGGCCACTTCCTGGGGGAGGAACCCTTTCCACCTGTTGCCTTCTGTCTTCTGCAGACTTCTCTACCTTCTCCCACTAAGAAATTTAATGCGCGTTTTTTCGGTGTGCGCGCTCATTAATTTAAAACAAGTTGACTATGTCAAATGACTTTGCCCCCGGTGAACGATAGCATCAGAAACTCACGACTCAAGACACTCCAGTGCGAAAAGGTCAACTCTGAGTTGCAAAGTTGCGGTTGCCGGATCCGATGCACTTTACAGTTGACACGTGTCGTCCACTTCAGCTGAAGTGGGACACGTCTGAAAGTGCATGAGCACAAGAAAAAAATAACCACAATTTGATTAAACAAAGATTAAATAATATATATCAAGATTAAATTAGTTGCCTTTAGTATCTAGTAGATCCATGGAACGCCTTTGGTACAAAATCAACACAACGTGGATCCTAATATTGCTTTTGGTAGAAAACCAAAGATCAAAGCTTATTTCACTCGGCTGAGAAATTATTCATAAAAAAGGTAATCGTTTTGACCATCCAGAGGTCTGTAAAAAAAAGTAGAACAAAATATAAAATTTTAAAAATCAGGTCACTACGACAATCGAAAACACTTGATGTTTTGTCAAGTGTAGTGCATTGTTTTTGTTGCTTTCAGTTCACAATCTAAAGCAAGTGAAGCGACAGGTGTCAACGGCAGGTTTCCCATGCAGTTGGCAGGTAAAGTAGAATTTCCACGTGCACGTAGGAGTAATAATCTCCCCAGCCAGCGGCAAAATTGGTTTTAAAATTCCCTGTGCTTTCAAGGGCTTCAAATGATTTTTAGCCTGATGCGAGTGTATTAAATATTTAGCGGTCTCTAGGAATTAGTCAAGCAAATAGCCGCAGAGCAAAGTAAATCCAAAACAAGCACAAAAATGAAATGCCAAAGAGAAAGTGGGCGGGACAAGGGGGCGACAAGGAAGCGGCATGGGCGGAATGGCAAATGAATGGAAGCGGAAACGCTCAGGCAGAAGTCGAACGAGCAACAGGAAGAGCCGGGCAAACAAACAATCGCCCGTGCACACTCAAACACACGTGGACAGCACAACACAGCACAGAACTCGGCACAACACTTTTATGAAGCCAGCAACAAAAGCCAGAAATAATAACAAGCTGGCTTTAGCAGCTTGTCGTTGTCCTTCGTCCTTCGTCTTCCGCCACATCCCCTCACTTATTCGCACATATATATATAGTAGTCTGCACATTCAGAACTACTCTCCGCTTTGTCGTTTACAGAAACAAGGCGTGACACAGTTGTTGCACTTGCAACACCCTCAAACACACACAGAATCAGACCAACTAACATTGGGTCAGCTGGCAGAGATGGCCATTCGGTTGTTTCCTAACAGAATCTAAGGGTTAAGTTATGCAATGACAATATTTTTCTATCATGGAGGTTTCAAGGCGTGTCGAAAAGTTTGCTTTGAAAAATGTTTACTTAAAAGGTCACAGGACGAATACCAAAAGACTAAACTTTTTTTTTTTAAGCATGCTTTTGGCTCCTTTTAATTGTTTACTTAACTATATTCTAACACAAATTATTTGAAAATTTAAATACTTAAATGCTTAAAAAATCTTAATAGCTTATTTAGTTTTATAATTTACTGTTTAAGTTATACACCCCAATCGCTGTCATGTTTTTTCCCCCTCTATTTTAGCCTGAACCATGCGTCTGGTTTAATAAATTATATAGTTCGCCGGCATCACTGTCGGGGGTTGTGTCTTATTTATAGAGCCAACAGTCTGTCCTCCTGGGCTTTGTGTCAAAGTCAGCCTGTCAGATGCATCAAGTCGAGTTCAGTTCCCTGAAGTTTCGTTTCTAGTCCAGAGTGCAACTGCAGCCAAGTTGGATGGACATCTGTTTGCCCATTGTCCATTGTAACATGTACATAGTTTGCCCAGAACAAGCAAAGAGCATAGCTAATAGCACCGTCAACTTGCTGAACAATGAAACTACATTTTTGGTGCAGTTGCCTAAGGCCCATATAAATTAAGTTCGTTTTTTTTTTATTTTCACACCCACCTATTATACGATGTGCCTGCCTCGGCGCCATTTATTCCAATTTGTGTGCTCGGTGGGCGATTTGACTGCTATTAAAATGCGATTTCTTTGCGAGCAGTGGCTGCAGTACGTTGAACCAAGACAGCTCAAAGAAAAAGGAAATTGCTTATTGTTCGCCTGCCGTGTTTTCAGATTTTTTTTGTTTTTGTTATAGCATCAGTTTCAGGCAGCCTCTTACCTTTTTGCCAACCAGTTTATCCTTGGGGAATCGCTCGGATATGGCGAATTTGCAGCCAGTTCAATGCACAGCGCCAAAGTTGAAAGGTCGCATTTAGATTTATGGCCAGGTTAACTTTAACCCACTGCACTTAGAGAGAAAGTAATTGTATTGCTTTTGTTGGCAACTTGGGAAAATTAATTAGGGGCCATCAATGCCCCATAACCGTTTGTCTTAATAACAGCTAATCTAAACCTCAAACCACCGTTTTATGAAAATATTTAATGTAAATATTTAATGTAAATATTCTAAAAGCATTTTTAGCTGCAATTGTTTTTGCCGTTTAATGTTAGAAAAAATTCAGTCAGCGTTTGCCAATGTGAAAAATAAAAAAAAGCTGAAAATCAAATATTTATTTATTGATAATGTCGCTTGGGAAAAACACAATACATTTTAACTGTGAAACAGTCGAAATGAAATTACCCTTTTTTTAAACCTTTAATATTTAATTTGCAAATAACTTTCTATTCATATATTATTTCAAAAGATGCAAGCTAAAATAAAAAGTTAAATGTTGATATTTCGTTTTTTATATTTATTAACAACATTTTTAACCTTTTTGAACATTTCAAAGTAATTATTTTTTCAAGAACGCATTGAGAAATATACAGTTTCTCACCTAAAGCATGTTTTTTATTTTATAAACTTATTTTAAAATTTTTAAATAGATAAATTAACATACTTTTAATTAATTTTTTTAAATACTACAGAAAAAAGTTAGCGTCACCTTAAAATGTGTGCACCCTGCAGGGCTGCAGAACTACGATCGCGAATATGGTCACACTCAAACAGCTGATTTTCGCAATTTGAAGATTTGTTTACGATTTGGCAATTGGATTTTTGTGAATCACAACCAAATTACTTTCGATCGGGATTGGGTCAGTGTGCCTTGCTGGTAGCCTCAGAGAAGTTTAACTAAACCATGGAACGGGGAAGCAACAAGGATTTTAGAAGGGAAGAAGGGGGATGGCAGAACGACGGCTCCTTCCCCGCGGTCTTCCACGAATTCGTTTCGAAGAACGTGTCCATGCCCTCTGACCTGGGTCAACTGATCGCATACGTGTTGCTGCTGGTCGTCTCCTGGTACACACTACTCTTCGCCTTCCGGTTCCTGATCTCCCTGGTGAAGCCCGTGCTGGTGGTTTTGGTCGCCTTCTTCATCTTCCAATGTCTGCGATCCTACCAGCTTGGGGGCATAATCGACCTTGTCTTCACAATTTTGGGTCAAGTCGCTAATCTAGTCACTACCATTCTGGCCAAGGTCATGGAGGTCATTGTGCGTGCTCTTGGTTAATAAATATAAGATTATCGAATAACATTCCATTGCTAAACTGTCTGTAAATAACGTTTGTCTAAACGTTGCATGTTTATTTAAAGTTTGTTATACGGTTGGAGAGAATTATACTTAAATTTTCAGGGCATTTAATAAATCATAACTTTCAATAATATAACATAATGTAATATATATTATCTTGAAATCCGAAATACGAACGTGTTCTTTGTAGTTTTTTTTTTTAAGATTAAGATAAGAGTTGCAGGCATTAGACTAGTACACGTAGATAATTTCGTGTTCATGACGAAATATATATTATCTTTAAATTAAAAACGGCTAATTTGGTATTGTTTAATAAGACACAATTAAATTGTTTTTTTTTTAAATTACGTACATAAATAACCAATTATTAAAACATAACAAATAGGAGCCGTAGTTTTGCAATGATTTATTTTGATAATATAAGAAATAGGAATCGAACTAAGCCTCCTTGGCAATTTTAAAGAGAGGCGTGTCCTATTATTTCTCCTCGCACCACTCGTTCTCCTTGCGCACCTGCTCCTCCTCCTGCGGCGAAAAGTCGTTGTTGATGGCGAAAGTGTCGCGGATGTCCTGCGGCGACTTGCCCTTGATCATGTTGGCCACCGTTTTGCAGGTGACGTCCAGCAGACCCTGGATGTTGAGGTAATTGGCGGCCAGGATCAGCTCGAACAGGGTGCCCTGGTCCACCTTGAGGAAGTCGGCATCCCACGAGGATATGTCATCGGTGCGCTTCTCCTTGTTCTCATCCTCCTCGGTGACCATGGGATCGTCCTTGTGGTAGGTGGCCCAGTGGAGCACCTTCTTCAGGATCAGCGAGTTGACATTCGGCAAGGGCAGCACACTGTTATCGCTCTCGTCGCCCAAATCCTCGAGAGCCGTGCGAATCGTTTCCGAGCACTTGGCGATCTCCTGGTCCGTGTCGAATATCTCCTTGTCCGCAGACTCCAGGCGAATGATGGGCATTCTACAAAATCGAATGGGCCATCAATTCATAACTCAACCCACGCCTTTTTCCCTATTTTTACATACTTTCCTGATTTTGCTTTTAGTTCTCTTGATGTGATACGAAGGTGTTTGATTTATTTGCAGACACAGCCAAAAAGAAAATTTTTAGACAGACCAGCAGTGTTCTTAGCTGTGGCCTACTGGCTAAAAATAATATTCCCTTGCCTTCAACTTGAACCGAACTGGTGCGGCGGCCGTCTGAGCACACAAACAGACAAACTTGCCAAATTCCCCGATTTCTTAGAAAATTTGGGATTTTGACAGAAGAAAAGAAATTGACGCCAGTGAGTGCACCTTTCCTGCGGAATTTAAAGATGCCGCCAATATAGACTTTTGGTGTGTAAGCACTGCGACAAAAATACACCTATTGTTTTCAATTAAAAAAAATAAGAAGGCGATTAAAATAAATATTTTTAAAAAATTAATTTTTACAGCTTACCCAGAAAAATGTTTTCCAACCATTTCAAACAGCGCGGTTAAATCTTTTCCAACACTAGTTTATAGCACAGGCCTGCCAGACATTACAGCATTGCAGGCTTGCCAGACCTGCGAAAAGGCTTAAGCACTACGGCGATGCCATATCCAGCGTGTAGCGAAGACATTAACCATTTGGCGTAAATATTGTTTTTCAGCACTGAAAAATGTGGTCTTGAAATACATCGAAGTTTGTTTCTCAAATCTATCGACAAGAGGTGGGGAAACATCGATGATAACAACGATGTCATCGATGTTTTAAAAACATTGATAATATCGATTAATTAATAATTGGCAAAAAATAACATTTTATTTCGCTCTGCGGATATTCGCAATATTGCCGAATCAAAATTGTCTGTGAAATCGCAAATTAGCGGTCAGCACGTGCGCCAGCCAAAGAATTTGCGGCAGCGGCAGTGGGCCAAACGAACCGATTTTCCGGTTGAAAAAAACAGGCGGCGTCGCCGACACGCGGACTGAAACGTAGGATCCGATCCGATCCGATCCGATCCGATCCAATCCGATCCGATCCGGAGAAGTCTCCAGGACACACAGGACCAGGACGAGGATAGCAATACCCCACCCCCCGCTCACAAGATGGACGTGTACGACGTGAGCGACGATCTGGTGAAGAAACTGAACGACTGGAAGCTGATCAACATAATCTCTGCCAAATTTAACGAGCTGAAGGAGAACTACCGCAAGGTGGACTTCGTGGAGCGGGCCCTGATCGACTTCAAGTACATGGAGAAGATCTTCCTGAATGTGACGCTGCGGGAGGACAAGTGCAACAAGCGGAGCGTCGAGTTCCGTATGCTGGGCAACGAGCAGTTCTCGCTGAAGAACAGGAAATACTTTCAGGTGAGGTGACACCTCTATTTCGAACCCTAAATAACACCACCCCATAATCCCCTCCAGGCGCTGGAGCTGTACAACAAAAGCATCTGCTATGCCGAGCCCAACTCGGAGCACCTGTCCATTGGCTATGCCAACCGGTCGGCGGTTCTGTTCGAATGGAAGCGCTACCGGGAGTGCTTGGCCAACATCGAGCTGGCCCGGAAGGCCAACTATCCGGCCCGGCTGAGCCACAAGCTGGACAAGCGGGAGCGGGACTGCCAGCAGCTGCTGGAGCAACAGCCGCCGGATCTGGTGCCCTACGAGTTCAAGCTCAGCTTCGATTCGCACGCCCAGGTGCCGTACATAGCCGACTGCCTGGAGCTGCGCGAATCCGCCGACGAGGGACGCTTCGTGGTCAGCAATCGGGACCTGGTCGTGGGCGATTTGGTGGCCGTGGAGCAGCCGTTCTGCTCCACCCTGCTGCCGCCCATGCGGTATATCCGGTGCGCCACCTGCAAGCGGGAGAACTACCTGACCCTCGTACCCTGCGACAGCTGCTGCTCCGTGATGTTCTGCTCCGAGGAGTGCAAGCAGCGGGCCATGTCCACCTACCATCGCTTCGAGTGCCCCATCATTGACTTTCTGCACCGCATGTTCAACAAGATCCACGGCATCGCGCTGCGCACCACGCTGGCCGCCCTGGATCTCTATCCCAGCATCGAGGAGCTGATGGCCTTCTGCGAGCAGCCGCAGAATCAGCACAAGTGCGCCTTCGACCTGGACTACGGGCAGCTGTCGCCGCAGGAGCACTACCGGGCCATCCACGGACTGGTGACCAACCAGCACCTGCGCTCCGTCTCCGATCTCTTCCAGCGCTCCGTGGTCTGTGCCGTGCTCAAGCACTTCATCATCGAATACACCCCGCTCAAGGACCATTTGGGCGGCGAGGAGGGCATGAACTTCTTCACGGATCTGCTCTTCCGGCACCTGCAGACGTCCCCATCGAACATGCACGGCATTGATCTGGTGGAGCAGGTTAACGAGACCAAGGACGACCAGACGCACTCGTCCGGGGCGTACGCCTTCCTCTCACTGCTGAACCACTCGTGTGCGCCCAATACTTTAAGGATATACGAGGGTACCAAGGCCTACCTGTTCGTCCTGCGGCCCATTAAGGCGGGAAATGTGCTCTACGACAACTATGGGTGAGTGTTTTATGCCTTAGAACTTGGTTAACCACCTCTTAGTGAGCAACAGTTTAAAATAGTGCTGATGGAGACTATATTAGTCATTCGTTTCTGCTTTTACTTCATTTCTCAGCTTAAAACGGCTAATGATATAAGTATAAAATACGTGTTTATATAAGATACAATAGAAACATCAGTCTTGTTCATTTAACCGTGTCGAATCTGCTAAATTATTATTAACACTAATCTTAATATGAACTATAAAAGTTATTTGTTTTTACTTTTACTTCAGTTCTTAGCTTAAAGCGGCCTTAAACTTCTTTATAAAGAAAAGAAAAGAAATTAAAGGATGTATTGCAAATTTAAATATATCATGAATTAAAATGAGTTTTTGTCCTTTTAACCTTGTCCTAACTTGCTAAAAAAAAATGCTAGATATTAATAGTAATTGATTTCCTTCCTCTCAGATCTAAATTAAATAAGTTATGATAGAAACTAGTCAATTATTTCCACTTTTACTTCAGTTCTCAGCATAAAATGAACTTAAACTGATTGATATAGTAAAGAGTTTGTTACCAAATTGAATATGATAAAAAAGAAAAAGACTTCTAGCCTTGTACTAATCCATTAAAAAAGGTTTATAGACATAAAAAGTAATTGATTTGCCCTCTTATTTTTTAGCGCCCACTTTGCCATCTTCAGCAAGCAGCAGCGGTTGGACACGCTGTCCATGCAGTACCGCTTCGACTGCAAGTGCGAGGGCTGCGAGCTGGACTACCCGACGTTCGGGCGGATGCCGCACAAGGCGACGGTGCCGTCGGTGACCGACGACACGGACATGAAGTCGCTGGGCGCCTACAACTACGACTTTGCGGTGAGCAACTACCGGAAGTACTGCGACTTCCTCACGCAATACGGCGCCGCCTATCCGTGCGAGCAGATCAGCTCTGCGGAGGAGTGCCTCAAAATGGCCCTGCATATCATGGTGGACGCAGTGCCGCTCAAGGCGAAGATGTAATCGTATCCTGCCGCCGGCCAACAACCATCATCATCACCACAACAACCACAACAAGCACAACAACAAACCATTAACAACCAACACGGACGAACTTTTCCTTTGCTGACTTCGACTGGCAGGCAGCGTATTATTACAAGCGAGACACACACAAACTATGAGGAGAGTAATTGATTATTATACATGTTGTTGCCATAATTCTGTAGCGCAGGCAGCAGCGCGATTCGATGAGATCAGATGAGATAAGATGAGGATAGCAAGTGCAAGAGCAAGAGCACGCCCTTAACTTTTATATTTGTAATTGTACATTTCGACCTTTGGTTCTATTTTACGCATACACACACCCCCAACACACACACACACACACAGATTTCATTACAAGTCGCAAGCTCAAAATTCTAACGTTGATTTATTTTTTGATCACAACAATGTCTTCGATGAAAACAAAACGAAACAAAACAAAAAACAAACAAGAACTATGCAACCTATGGCGTTTTTATAATTAATTTACAAAAACCAACAAATACAATATTTTCTAAACGAAAATTCTAGGGAATTTTGCTGTACAAATCGAGCAGGTTCTGGTTGAGCATGGATCCACCTCGGGCCATCGATGAACTCGGAGTCGTGGGCTGCAGCTGAACGAACTCACAGCCGGAGGAGCCGCTGGCCACCGGCTCATCGAAGAGCACATTGCCGAAGGCCTGCTCGAACTGCTGCTGGAACTGGCGGGCATTGATGGGCTGCAGATCCTCGCCCTGCACGGGATTGATGTTCAGCTGGGCGGCCAGTTGGTCCATGCGGTTGGGCTCCCGCTGCTCCGGCTGCACCCGCTGCTCGGCACTCTTCGCATAGAGGTTGTCACCCGCCGACTGGACGTACTCGGCGAAGTAGTCCTGATCCACATCCTTGAAGAAACTGCCGTCCATGGCCTGGAAACCGAGGCGAATGAGCAGCGATATCTTGGTGTTGAAGCACTGCAGCCAGGCGCGATTCGTCTGGTAAATGGACAGCTGGGCCTCCTCCCCGCTGGCGTTCCAGAAGTCCAACAGTGTGTTCTTCGTGAAGTCAATCAACATGTGCCGCTTGGCATCCGGATACAGCCTGTTGATCGCCTCCAGGTGCCGGAACGTAATCTCCAGCAGGTGGTGCTGATGGCGGGACACGAAGAGCTGCCACTTGTACACCATGGTCATGAGGTTCCACAGCTTGGACATGGACTGCTCGTCCAGTCGCATCAAGGAGCAGGTGGCTATGTCGTTCAACATGAACTTGCAGTGCTCGGTGGTCAGCAGCTGGGCATTATTATGCTTCGATCCGTTGAGCAGCGAGTCTATAAACTTGGGCTCCAACAGCACTGTCGTCACATCGTGGATAACTTGGAAATGTAAATATATATCAAGCTTTAATTTAATTGCTTGGCTTGAGTCAGAGTTTGCCACCAAAGTATGCATTTATATTCAGTATCCTTTTAAAGAGCATAACGATTATCACGGACCATTAGTTTTTAGCTGGTTCATTTAAAATTCATCGAAAATGGGAGCAAACTTCGGCAAATCCATTTACATAAACGTATACCACTTGCAGCAATTACAAAATTGAAATATTCTATAATATTAAACGACTATATTTCCATTTTAATGCGATTTTTTATTTATCTATTTTGATGTTTGAATTTAAATAATGTTGTATAATTTTTAGTTGTGGGTAAACAAATGCTTATATGCATAAACGAATTTTTGAAATGGTAAGCTTTTACTATATCTCCTCTAAGTTTGTTAAGAATAGCGAAACTTTAATTTTGATTTAGTTAGTTCCAAGTTATTATATTCTCCCTGTCAAAGAAAGGATACTTTTATCTAGATAGCTTTAAAACTAAGAAACTAGTTTGCTTAGAAACGAACAGACGGTCAGATGGACATGTCTAGATTGACTATACTAGTGATACTGATCAGGAATATATATAGTATACTATATGGGGTCTCCTTCACTGCATGGCAAAAGCAACTGAAATTATAATACCCTTTGTAGGGGTATAAAAGAATATGAAATTTCAATATCTTTGGATTTGTAAATTTGAGTTCAAAAGTATTTATTTTTTGTAAGATTAGAATTTAAAACGAAACATAGAAATCCTAAGAACTAAACACAATTAAACCTTTTCGAAACCTTAAAGACGAATCCTGTGAATTTCAGGAACGCCTTCTAGTTCAAATATTACTTGTGTGTTTAGAGTTCCAAACTAGATATTTATGGTTATCAGGATGGCTCACCCTGAATCGACTTATCCTGTGCAATCTGCTGCGCCTTCAGCCGCTGATCAATGACGTAGAGCATTTCGCATCCCAGATTGACCAGGATGAAGACATTCGCCCGGGGATTCGACAGCTGGTGCGGATTGAACTTGGCCATCTTTTGACGGACAACTTGAAAGCACGAATGGCGAATGCGAACTGAGCTGACTGAGCCGCAGACTTCGTGGAGCACGCAAGCCCTGCAAGCCAAACCGCTCACACACACTGATGGCTTATTGGATTTTTGGTTTCCGGGCGGTAGTCCGGTAGCCCCAATTTACACGGAAAATTATTTAGAAATATGTAATTGTATTCTAAAGGATTTCAAAATTTCGTCCTCAAAAGTTTTAGTAATTTTCCTTGTTTTTATAAGATTTAAGAAATCCTTTCTTACATTTTTCTTAATCTATTGGTTGGTTGGTTTTCAAATTACAAATATTTTCAATGGGTTTTGGTAAAGAAAAAAAGTTTTTTAATAAAATTATTATAAAAAACAATGCAATCTATTATAATAATAAAATCTATTCTATTATAATAATAAAACAAATTGATATAAATTTGTTAAGTCAATCTTTTGGTTTTATCTTATTCATATTTTTTATGTATATTCTTCGACTCTATTTGGTAAAAATAGATCGGAATTTTTGTACATTGTTCAATCCACTTAGTTTAATATGTTTTAAAAATTTTGTAAAAAATTGTGAAACCCATCATAGCAACATGAGTTTTTGTCAGTGCTCTACCGCATTTGATGGCTTTATGAGACCCGGCAACGTCTTTCAGTGCAAACAATAACAAAAGCCAGTCCACGGCGACAGAACAGCCGACGTGTATAATTATGGCAACCGTGGGCAAAGGACCTCCGCCAGTGCGGGGCACTAAAATTTATTGATTTCTAAATTTCCATTTCAAGCACATGGCAATTAGCCTGGAAATTATGGCAGCAGGTTGAAAAGTTAAAACGTTTCTCATGTGGGGGAGTCGGCATTATCCGGGCATTAAACGTTATAGTTATACCAATATGGATAAGCTCCCACGGCGGCCTGCAGACCTGTCTGCAAATTCGACGGTCGAGTGATTGGTGGTTGGTGGGGGTTCACCACCCAGTGAGGCAAACACCTGCAGCGAAGGTCGTCCGGAAGGGATGCCGGAAGTTGCGTGATTACCCTGACCACAAACGACAGACTGATTTCCATAAAGTTGGGGATTCAAAATAGTGTTCTTGAATATGCAAAGGAGTATAATGTGTAGGAGAATATGCCATTTTAAGTATGTAAGATCTTGTAACCAAGTCATATAAATGTGTGGTTCTTCGTGCCAAAAATTTAATTAAAAAATGTTAAATTTCTAAATATCGTTAGAACATTATTAAAGAACTTATATTGAGCTTAGGACTTTGAAAAATTAGAGACTTCAATTTAAAGAACGAGCTTTTACGAGCTCTTATACTTTTGTATTCTTTTATAAGGATTTGTAAATCTAAGTTATTTTTTAAGAACTTTAACCGATTTTTCACTTTTTGTTCAGTTTTAAGGCTGTTAGAGATTTTATGTCTTGCTATTATAGAACTTTGATTTTTATTTAAAGTTTTTAGTGACCTATGTCAATACGACCCAGTTCAATTAAATTCTACGTTGACACTGAAACCTTTAAGGGATTGAGGTCCCTATAAATGCCTTATATAGTACAATAGTATGAATCCGGAATTCTTATAAATAAATGCCAAAAAACAGATTAGTTTTTGATTAATTTTTCAGTGAGAGAACCTCTACACATTTCTGTGCCACAAAAATACCGCCCAAATTCAAATTCAATAACTATCGATAGGATAATCTCCTCTCAAGATATATTTACCGTTTGAAATCCATGAGGATTTTTGTCATAGAGCCCAGTGGTCACTCTTAAACGAAGCGCAATGTTTTGCTACAAGTTTCCTTGCGGGGATTTCCAAACCCTAACAACCATGACTGAAACCGGGATTACCTTCGATCCACCAGTGTACGAACAGCGCTACTGTGCAGCCATTCAGATCCTGGAGGACTCCCGCTGGAAGGACCACATCAAAAAGGTTGTAGAGTTCGGCTGTGCCGAAATGCGCTTTTTCCAGCTTATGCGTCGCATTGAGACAATAGAACAAATTCTACTGGTAAGCACTTTCAGTTTGTTCTCCCAAAATTTAGGAATAAGACTCGACTTTCGCGATTAGTTATTAAGGAAATACAATTCTAATTTATTTATTTCCGCTGCTTGTTTATACACGCATATATATCCTAGCTTAGACTTGTATCATGTTTACGAAATAACTTTATCTAGTTATATTAAATACTTTTGAGGAGAGTATGTACCGGGCTGCATGAAATGTGGGTGAATCTATAGGATGATGTTTTTAATATAACGTAACTAACATAAAAATTTCAAGTTATAAAATAGGAGTTTAAAAATCAATGATCAATGATTTGCTATCAAGGCAATGGTGGCGCACTGCTCCTGCGCACCGTTTAAACTCTAAAAACACATAAACATCGCTTACAACTGGGTACTACATGCTATAATGGATAATTCAACAACATCTTCCCTAAGGAGCTGAGCGTGCCAACCAAAAAACTTACGAAAACTTATCGATTTAATGTCTAAAAAAACCAAAATTACACATCATGAAGTCGGTCTCACTAGATCGAGTCCACGCCTCGCCTGCCGCCTTTCAGGTCCGAAGTCGAAGTATGTTTGTATGTATATAAGTAGGATCTGTCCTGTTCGTACCTTAATTACCACTAAAAATACTTGAAAACGAATTTAGGTTTCTTCTGTTCTGCTCCTCTGTCCTGTTTCTCATCTGCTTCCGTTGTTGTCCGACATCCAATTGGATCGGTCCTAGTCTCTATTCCTAATTGTCATCTAATCTGGGGGCAATCATTTGCGACAGTGCCTGGACGAGTGGACACCGCGCCCCTTGCCGTAGTTGTTCTCGTCATCGTATTCGCCGTACAGATTCTGCACTTCCAGCAGGCTCGAGTTGTTCTCCGCATCGTGCTCGCCGTGTTTGGGTTCAGTCTTATAAAGAGCTCTGCGCAAGCGGCTCGACTTTAGTTTCCGCTCGCCTTCGCCGGTGGCCGAGGCCAGAGTGGAGCTGTTGCTGTTGCTGTGGCTGTTCTCCTTGCGTGTGGCGCAGCCACGTTTGTTACTGGCCACTGCCGACAGCGGCGTGGAGCGGCTCTTGCCGTGAGCGAACCGCGCGACGGCCGAGTTCTTGCTCGGACGTCCCACACCGCGACTGGGCTTCACGGGCGGCGGCTGCGGCTGGTTCTGCTGCGGCTGGCTCTGCTTGCTGGTGGTTCGCTTGCGGGCGGTGCCCTTGGGACGGCCACGCGAAGCTTTCGCGGAATGGCGGGAGCATTCGCTGTCCTCCATTGCACCTTCCGATTCATCCTGCAAAAAAATCGATGGGAAAATATTAATACTGGCTTCATAGAAATCTTAACCAGCTGAAAGCCAATTCTCCTTTCACCTGGTTTCGTTTCTCTATTCAAATGATTTAAACTCACTTCACCATCAACGCTATCCGCGTCCTCCTCTTCCTCTGCCTCATTACTCCGGGCCTCCTGGTTCTCATCTTCTTCGTCCTCCTCATCGTCGTTGTCATCCTCCTCTTCGTCGTCGTCGTCGTCATTATGCTCCTGGACAACCAAGCCCCTTTCGCGACGACTCTGCTCCATGGCCAGTATCGCGTAGGTGGGCTTGCCTTCGTAGCGCTTTGGAAGACGGGACTCCAGCGGGCAGATGGACTCCTCCCGCTCGAACTCCTTGACCGCCCGTTCGCGGGCTATTTGATCGGGATCCTGCGAGAGCACCTCCGCCCATGAGAACTTCTTTTTCGCCGTTTTCTTGTTGGACTTTGAACGCAGATTTTTGGGTGAGACGCGGTTGGTGAGCGAATGCTCCTGAAACGGGGTGCTCAGCGCCGAGTTGCGCATCACATTCGTGGCTATCTTGTTGTTCAGCTCGAAGATGTCGCACTTGCTGCCATCGACCACATCCTTGGCGGAGACACAAGTGCGCAGGATCTCCTCGCTGCTCAAACGCATTTGACTGGGATCGTAGCCCAGGCGCTGGTACTCGCGCTTGAAGATCTTGCGGTAGCGCTCGTAGTTGGGTCGCTCCTGGTAGGCCAGCTGAACGATCTGCAGCAGGAACTCGCCCAGATATTTAGGAACTTGCTTGCCATAGAACTGTCGCAGCATCTCGGGCACGTCCGTCATGAACAGCTCCTTGGCGCGGTGCACTTTCTCCTGCTGCTGCTGCTGGGCCACGTCCTTCCAGGGCAGATAGCCCTCGGACCAGTACAGCAGGTTGTAGCCCAGGCACTCCAGATCACTGCGCCGCGAATGGGCGCCCAGGTGAGCGTCGCGCGACGTGAACTCCAGCGTGCCGTCATGCGCCCGCCGCTGGTCCATTATGAAGGGCCGGTGCACTCCGCGATCCTGGTACTTGGACGCCAGTCCAAAATCGATGAGGAAAACGTGCTCTTCCTCGACGGGCAGGAACTTGTACTCAGTTGGGTGGCTGTCACCGTGCTTGCTGCCCCTGCTACGCGCTTTGTGCTCATCGACGGGCTCCTTCTTCAGCTTCTCCTGGTGACGGGTGGCCCGGGTCGAAACCAGACACTTTTTGGGACTGGCTACCTGAGCGCTCCTGCCCCCTTTTTTGCTAGACGAACGGAGGGACGAGGGCGGAATGAACTCATCGGACTCGTTATCAGACGATTCCGGCGATTCATCACTGTTTTCCTCGGTCGCCTTGGGATACCCGTCCTCGTTGAACTCCTCGCGGTAGCTGATGCGCTTGGTGGGGCGCAGATAGTGTGACTTGACCATCTCCTCGTACATGGAGTTGCGCTTCTCGCGACGACAAGAACGCACCGGATTGGAGCCGCTGAACTGGACGGGATTGCGTGCAGCTCGCTTCTTGGTCACTGGCGTGTGGTAGATGTCCAGGCTGTTGCTGTTGTTGCTGTTCGATGTTGCGCCATCGTCGAAATCCTCGTCGTCTTCGTCGTCATCCTGCTTAATATGCGCAATCCCCTTCATGGCGAACTTCTCGTTCTTGAGGAAGTAGTCATCGTCGTTGGTCTCCTGCTCCGAGCTATTGCCACTATCTGTGGTCTGCTGCTTCTCCTCGTAGTGCTCGTCGTAGCCATTGCCCTTCGGTACCGCCTGCTTCCTGAGGTACTTGCACTTGGACACCATCAGGTTCTGGGCCTTAATATCGTTATGACAGTATCCCTTGTCGTGCAGATTCTCCAGCACATTGATTATGTGCACAGCCAGCACTAGGAGTGACTTTTGCTGGACCCTTGAGTTCTTGATCAGCGAGTGCAGGTCGCGATCGAAGCGCGGCAGCACCAGAAAGCGGTAGCGGGCATCTCCAAAGTAGTGCGTGCCCGAGGCAATAAATCTGGGTATCCCCGAGGGCGGACCCTTACTGAGGGCATGCGTCTGTTGGGCTGGCAGGATGGCAGCATCTTCCCCGCAATCTGATACATCTGTAAATTGCGTTTGAGTGCTGATGTAATGGAGAGAAATTGATTCAATATGCTCACCCTTGCTCTGCGATGTGTTGATCAGACAGTGAATCTCTACGAAAAGGGGGCCGTTTGAGTGTGGCTCTATTTTGACCACGTATTTGGCTGTTTCCGAGCTGGCCGGGCATACAGTATCATCCGAGGCTAGGAAGATCTCGCCAAAGTTGCCCTTCCCTGCGGAAAAGAATAGAGTTTAGTTCTCTCGAGAAACAGATTGATGTTTATCGAGCATTCACCTATGGGTCGCCCCAAGCGCCAGGCCTTGGAGAGCACGTCCCTCAGAATGGTTCCATTGACCACCGAGGGCCGGAGCGTGTAAACCGGACGCGGTGACTCCATCACACTGGAGTTATTGTGATCGCTGGCGATGCTGGCTTCCGTTAGGAGCAAACTACGAGCCTGCGGGGTGTGCAACAGTGTGGGTGGATCCACCGTCATGCCGCCAGCGGATCCAGCCGAGGAGCAGGACTCCTCGTCGTCGTTCTCGTGGAACTCAAAGCCATTGGCGCTGCTGGAGCCGCCGCTCAAGCGCTGGCGCTTCGCGACGTCCTTGATCGCCGAACGCTTTCGCTTGCGTGCACTGCGCTCCGTGGTTGGGCGCTCCAGTTGGAGACGCTTGCCCATGTCGGCAGCTGGCGAGGGTGTGGATGTGTTTGCGGAGGTAACTCCTCTTGGATTCTGTGACTAAGTCTCACTTTTAAGTGGTGTGATTTCAATTGTTTGCGAAAGCTGGCTTGTTTTTGTGCGATTCCGCTTTCAACGGCGGTTTTTTATCAACTGAAGTGGATAGAAGAAGAAACGAACGGGTTACTAATTATCTATTTTTGTGGTATGTGGTATTCAGGCAGAAATTAGTATTGTTTTTATTCAAACAAGAGTCTTTTAAGTTTTTGTGCTATTAGGATTTGTTTTTTATTTTTTGCTTTTTTGCCCCCAAGTCATTTTTGTCATTTTATTGTTGTGCCTAACAGTGTTGTAAAGCGCGAGTGCTGACTATTTTTGAAGTATGAGATCAGGCATAATTAGCATAATTTTCTATACGGTTACAAACAACTTGAGGTTATTTTATTTGGATATTGGTCATTTTAACGTGATAATTGTTCCTCCTCGATCGATTTTAGTTGTTTTTTTCATTATTTTTCCTGGCAGTGCTGCAAAACGATCTAATTTGCTGCGCGTCCGGGGGCACGAATACAAACACAAACAAACGCGAACGCACCACCATGTCTGGAAACACAAACACACCGACATACAAACATACTGAGGGTTCCGAAAAAAATCGATTTTCTGGCCGGCATTATTAAACAAAGAACTAAATGCTGGCATGTTTGTTCAGTTGCACAGGGTTTTTCCCTCAGACTGAGCGCTTTTCACGTGTTAATTAGTTGCTATCGCGGCCCAAAGTCGAATTGAGTTTGCAGTATGTATTTTTCTCACGTATTGCTCGTTCTCTTCTTCTTGTTTTTCTACGTTTTCTTTGCCCCGTTTCGAATGTTTGGGGGTTTTCCGCTGATTTCTTCCGTTTTAGGTGTTTTATCGTAATGCTTACACTTTTCACTCGGTGCAACGGTGCCCAATTGCACTTTCACGCGATTATTGCTATTATAATTCCGTTTCCATTTGACTTTTCGTAACAATTACACATTCTTCCTGTGCACTGCTGCACACACACACACACGCACAGTTTTTGCAGTGTGACCGCAGTCGAGGCTGGAAAAATGATTTGACTAGTGTGACCGGTGCCTGTAAAATGAAAAATGCATTTTTAAATGAAGTATGCATTTAATGTACCGTTAAACAAGTAAACGTTTGAATTTAAAATGCTATTTGTTAATTCCATCTGATAGTTTTGGATTCATATACCAGTTGAAATCTATATTTGATATTAAATAATTTGTTAAATATATTACTTTTTTATTTAACTAGTTTTATAAATATATAAAACTTTAAATTGAAATTAAGGTATAAAATTTTATAACTATGTTTTTTTGTTAATTCATTTTGTTTATGCTAGGAAACATAAGTTTTTTTAAGAACAATTTGTACATTATATTTCATTCAGTATATATTATACACTGAAAGTATATTTATATATAAATTGATACGTTCGGTTAATTTAAATTGTTTTGTTTCGTACTTTTTTTTAAATAAAAAAATAAGTTTAATAAATATGAACTTAATGATTAAATCAACAATGAACAAATGTCCAAAATGTTATATGTTTCATTCTCATTTGGCTCCAATAAGTGGTCGTTATTTTCGAATAATCCTTTATTGCAGGTTGATATAGACGAGCCCTTGCTTAGGAAAAATTCAACTAGCGTCAATCCTTTGGTATCGGACTATATAAGGCACCGTTTGGGTCCTCTCAACGTCCAAATTCTTCAGGGAAGCGTTGCAGATTCTTCGGAAGAATTGCGAGATACTGATGCCGTAATTGCCTTGGAACTGTGAGTTTAAATGTTATTATTTTTAAAGTATTTATAAAAATAAGATTTGCCTTGTTTAAATTCTAACCTATTTTTCATTCCAGAATAGAGCATGTGTACGACGATGTTCTGTCCAAAATCCCATCCAATGTATTTGGTTTCATGCAGCCAAAATTGGTGGTTTTCAGCACCCCAAACTCAGATTACAACGTAATCTTTACGCGCTTCAATCCATTGCTGCCAAATGGATTTCGCCATGACGATCACAAGTTCGAATGGACCCGGGAGGAGTTCAAAACCTGGTGCTTAAGCATTGTTGAAAAATATCCGAACTATATGTTCTCCTTATTGGGAGTGGGGAATCCGCCCAAGGACCTTGAGTCCGTGGGTCATGTGTCCCAGTTAGCTGTATTCGTTCGCAAGGACTTTCTGGAGATGGAGCTGGAGAATTCTTTGGACTCCACACCTAAGCTTGATGAAGAATCCACTCCATACAAGCTCATTCATTCAGTCGACTATCCCTTTCATAAGGATACACGTACCGAAAAGGAAAAGATCTGGACCGAAGTCCAGATTGAGTTGCAGCGATTTAAAAGAATGGCTAATTTTTCTGAGAATGAGCAAGATCCTTACCAGGACACCTATAAAATGTCAATTGCAGATCTATTAGAACGCCTACATTACGTAGGAGCCACTAAAGATGTTCTGGTGGAATTACTACAAGAGAACAACATAAAAGTTGAGGATGAATGCGTTATAATAGAAGATTCCGATTACTCCGATGAGGAACCGCAGTGGTCCGATCCTTGTGACTTGTCTGAACGTCTTTCCCAGGAGGCTGTGTTGATCGATCAGGATCAAGAAGAAGAGGAATGCTGGGACTTGAGACCTGAAACGTAACTTTAGACGGAATAAACTCTGGTACTAACTGCTACCTAATTTTAAATTAGCAACAATTTTAGGTGCAAAAATTGGTTTAAGAAACATTTTGTAAAGAAAAATAAATTTTCTTTTACTCATATTTTAATCCTAATGTTTTAATCCTGTTCTTGCACCTAAATCGTCAAATTAAAAACTCTATTTTCTCAGAGTATAACTTAGTTAAAACATATTTGGCAAAATAATCCTTTTGTTTTTAAAGGATTTTTATTGTTTAAGTGACTATAATTTTGAAAGATTTTATAGTACATGACTCTACGATTAAGAACAACTTTCCAAAGATCCTAATAAGGCAACTTGTTCCTAACTAACAAGGTTATATTAATAAAGTATAAACTGTAACAACAAGCACAATTTCTTCGAGTCATTAACTCTATAACAATTAAGTTCTCAAATAAAATCAAACCATTACCCATGTTTTGTTAACTGACAATCTGTTGACATTTTGAGTGCATCATCATCATAAGGGATGCGGGGTGGGTTTTTCCCCGAAGCATCAATGGCTATTCCTCCCCCAGCTGACCATTTGGAGTGCAAAAATCCTGGCAAAAATTGGGGTTGCCGCCAAGATGATGACTGTGACGCCGCGTCGTCTGTCTCGCAGTGGCACCCGCACGGAAATTGCTTTTGTTTGCAACTAAAACCGGGGATGCAGGAAGCAGGAGCTGGAGGAGGGGCCCGAAGGACCTTTAGCATGCACAGGACTTGGCGCAAACGCAGCGCACACCGAACGAGTGTGGCTATCAACTTTCCCCCGGCGCAGAAACTCAACTCCGGCCGTTGTGGTTGCCAGTTAATGGAGTTGGCGTCAGCACGGAGCCGGCGGATCCGTTTTCATCGTTTTAGTTGCAAGTCAACCTCGCTCCTGACAGGCTGGCAGGCCAATCGAAACCGAAACCGTGCCCAAAAACCAATTGCCATAGCAGCCATCCTGGCGTGACAATAGCGCAAAAACGGAGAATTCATAAACATTCACCTGCCATTCACATAGCATATATATGTACATTCATACACATCTATCGCTGCTGCTGCTATAGTGCTGCCTTTACCTTGACTTGTGTGTCACATGTAAATAGGAATTTAACTCGATTTTTATTACATTAGCCTGGCTCCGTGATAGTTACTATTTCGGTTGCTTCCTTCAGTCGCTGGTGAATCGCAGACATGGCGGATGAAGAAGCGGGCAAGGAGGGCGAGAAGAAAATCGTTCATGTCTATCCTTTGGTGAAGGTTGGTTTAGTATAAGATATATACTTATCCCGGATTAAATCCTGACTTATACGACTCCCGATTTAAGCATTCGGACATGAACGAGGAGATGCGGATAGAGGCCATTGAACTGTCCATCACCGCCTGCGAGAAATACTCATCTAACTATGAGGTAAGTGGTTTGTTCTTAAGGAGAGCCCATGTAAAACTTTAATCTTTTGATTGGTTTATGAAGAACAAAATTTAAATTTTTAATTGAGATTATATTAAAGGAGAGCCCATGTATAACGTAATCATTTCATTGTTTTATAAAGCGTTAATCTTTTGATTGCTTTATAAAGAAATAAAATTCAAAATTTTAATTGAAAATCGTTAATATTTTGAATGCTCAACAAGGAAATAAAATTCAAAATTAAAATTTTTTTAAAGGAATATACGATTCTTTAAACTGATGTGCTCTGAAGTTAATTGGTCAAGCTTCTACCTTAAAAGTTGTTCTAAAACAATGACTTAATTATACTTATTACAAATAATGGTTCATTGTTTTAAAGAAAATAAAGTAATGAATTCTTAAAAACTTCAGCTATGAGACCACAAACGTAATAAATTGTTTTCAAATTATTTATTCGAATAAATAAACAATTTGGTACGTGGGACAAACCAGCACCTTGTATTGCAGTTCACCGCCAACTACAGAATAAACTTAACTTATAATTGAAAATCCATTACCAGCACGCTGCCAAAATCATCAAGGAAAACATGGACAAGAAGTTCGGCATCTATTGGCATGTGGTCGTGGGCGAGGGATTCGGCTTCGAGGTCTCCTACGAGACGGAGAACATCCTGTACCTGTTCTTCGCCGGCAACCTGGCCATCGTGCTGTGGAAGTGCTCCTGAATGCGGGTCAGCAGTCAATCGAACGTACCTAGAAACCGGAACAGAAACCAAAACCGAACCAAACACAAATTTAGCATTAACTTTAGTCATACATACAGCAGAACACTTACCATTAACAAATGTTTGTGAATACAAAGCCTTAACGTCGGTGACGGCGAAGCAATGAATACCATGGCAACAACGATGTGACTTGTTGGTAAAAGAGAATGGATTTTATTACAAAATGTACCTAGACGCTAGCATTTTGAAAACACGCTTATAAAAATTGTTTGTATGCACTAAACGAAGAACCTAAGACTGACACCAGATGCACACCGCCCGCCCTCTACGCGTACACATCCTCGCGATCCGCGCCGGCGCCATCGCCGCCGTCCTCGAGATTCGAGAAGAGCAGGAAGTGCGAGGTGCGGTGGAGTTCGTGGTAGAACTCCTTCGGGTTGGCCAGCTGCAGTTCGTACTTCATGTTCGGATCGTGGCGCACGCCCATGAAGTTGTAGTTCCAGCTGCTCTGCGCCGGCACCATGAAGAAGCCGAGGAACTTGTTGGAGAGCAGCATCTGGACGCGTTCGTAGTGCGACGGCAGGTAGCCCTTGGGATTGTTGCCCTTGTCCGTGTTCTTGGAGCCCCACTCGAAGCCCGACGGCGTCAGCTTGTAGGCCGTCAGGGAGCAGGAGCCGGGCGTGAAGGAGCATGTGATCACTATCGTCTTCTCGCCATCCCAGTTCGAGTTCTCCTGCATGATCTTCGCGTGCGTCGTGATGTCCTGCGGCGACAGTTGCGGCAACTCGTTGGGCTGCGTGTGGATCCAGCCCAGCGGCTCCATGTCCTTGAGATACTGATGCGTGGGCAGGGCATTGGGCAGGTTGATCGTCTGGTGGGTGCCCCACTGCGGCGGCATCACGATGCAGCGGATCTCCTTCACCTGCGGGTTGTCCGGCGGACTCACGCCATACAGGTAGCCGGCAATCTGTGCTCGCAGATCCGAGATCGTGACGAACTTTTTGAGTATGTTCTTGGGCAGAATATAGGTGTAGCCAGTCTCTTTGATGTCGTCCGAGCTCACGTAGATGTGGTTCGTTCGCAGGTGCAGATTGGTGGCGGAGATCGCTCTCACTCGCCATTCGGTCTTCGAGCTGAACGTCTGCGTCTCGTAATTGGACGTGGTGGAGGTGATGATCTCGTCGCCGTGCTTGTTTGTCGTTCGCGTGGTGGTGGCCGTCAGTTGGTTCTGCTCCTTGGTCTGCTTCTCGATCTCGGCGATCTGCTGACGCTGTGCGGATGGAGCACTGATCTCCATGCCCAGGATAATGTCACGAATTTCGGACTGCGTTAGCGAGGCCACATTCACGTTGTTCTTCTTGCCGTAATCGGCTAGAATGAGGTCCTTCAACTGCACCTCCACCTTTATCCACTCCTCGTCCGTCAACGTGGGCCAAATGTGATGCGCCTCCGTGATGGTGGTCTTGTCCGGCTTCAGGATGATCTTTGTCCGCTCGGTGTTCACGTGGAGAGCACGCAGAATGAGGATGAGACGACTGAAGGCCGTGTACGAGGAGATGGTCTTTAGCCAATCGTCATAGAGGTTGAACAGCACCATCTGCGGCTCCGTGGCCTTGAGGATCAGATCACCGAACTTCTCCACCTTGAGACACGCCTGGAAGGGCAGCTGCAGCTCGGAGCCCTTGATCACAATGTTGGGGAAGTCGAGCAAGTGCACCTCCAGCGGGTCCAACATGCCCTTGCGCGTCACAATGATCTGCTTGGGCTGCTCCTCCACGGGCAACGATCGAATGAGCGCGGCCACCTCCTCGGCTGTCTTCCACTTGGCCAACTGACCCAAACGCTTCTGACCCGCCCACACCGACGTGTGAATGATCTTCAGGAAGAGCTGACCCGTTCGCGGATTGAAGATGAAGATGGCTCCGTTAATTGGCTTCGTGGTCAGATTTCCCTCGAATGTCTTGTGGATTGTGACGCGATACACGTTGGTGTCGTCCACGAACCAGATGATCTGGTTGGAGAACAGCTCTCCGTAGTTCTGCGAGCTGAGGTACGGCTCCGTTGGCTCCGACGAGTAGAGTTGCAGCGCCTTGCGGATGCGCTCACGAAGCACATACAGGGCGGGATTGGCCTTCATGATCTTCGCCATGGCCTGTTGGATAAGGGTCTTGCAGCCCGGGAACCAGTTGCCGTAGGCAGAGTGCAGATTGTAGGCCAGATCGATGGCTATCAAGACGCCCGTGGGCGAGGGATAGATGGACATGTTGTCCGTGGTGTAGTCGAGGAACTTGGCCCGCGCATAGCGCTCCACATCGTGCGAATCGTAATCGCCCCAACGCAGCTGGATATCCAGCCAGTACTTCTGGGTGGTGGTGTTGTCCATGGTGTCCTTGGTGTCGGCCAGCAGCGAGGGCCGCGATACGTTCCACTTGTAGGCGGGGAAGAGCAGAATGTCCGCACACGACGAGTTCATCTTGTAGGACTTGCGCGGATGAATCGTCTCCTTCTGCACCGTCTCGATCTCCAAGGCGTCCAATTCCTGATCGAACACCTGACACAGATCCATCACAATCGACTCATGGATCTTCTGCCACAAATGCGCTCGGAAGATCTGAATCAGCGAGATCTTCAGTGTGGGAATCTTGCCATGCATGAATATGCCCGTCAGATCCAACTGCACCTGGAAACCCACGTACACGTTGGCGCGATTAATGGTCGGTGACCACCACAGGGTGAAGCGACGGTTCGGAATCTGGTTGAGACCGGATCGCTGGGCATTGGTCAGCTTCTTGTACTTCATCGACTCCTCGAACCCGGAGGCCTTCTCCCAGAACAGACCCTCCCAGGTGGGGAAGTAGGTGCCCTTGAAGAGGGTGTGCTCCAGGATGCCCTCCACTCCACCCAGCGCCTGGATCATGTCCGTGCGGTAGTTGTTCAGGTTCCACAGCTTGCCGTCGTGCCTCTGGTGAGTCCACCAGAAGGGATTCTGCTTCAGCACCTGGTATTGCTTGAACTCGGTGCGAATGCGCCAGCCCTTGTCGTAGGCCAGTGTGTGGCGATCCTTCTGGAAGAGTGTGTTGATACGCGGAATGCCGCGATCCCAGCTGTCCTCCAGATCCTCCAGTGTAAGCCGTCGGTTCTGGGCATTCGCCTCTTGGCGCTTCAATGCGTATTCCGCCCACACGCGCTGCGAGTCGATGAACTCGCTCTCCCAGGGCTGAATGTAGCGATACAAATTGGGAATAAGCTGATCCTCATCGTGAGACATGCCTAAAAGCAACAAAGTGTATTCATTAGCAACATGTAGAAGAACTCTACTTGTTTTAAGACCAACCAGAGCGGAAATGGGTTATGCCCACATCCGTTTGCTTGGACCAGCGCAGATCGGATTGGGGAATCAGGACGTGGCCCATGCTCAACATTCCCAGACCGCCCAACTCTTTCGGGGTGTAGAACACAACGGGCGGGAAACGCGAAGGCATTTTAGAGTTCAGGCCAATCTTGATACGGGTCTGTATTTTATTCTCGCACTTGACCAGCAAATCCAGCAGCTCCTGGGTGTTGACCACAGCCTCGCGGAAGTAGGTCATCAAACCAATAAGCGCCGTGTTCCATTTGTTTACAATCTGAAATTACATTGTTATTACATAGAAATCAAAAGAAAATAGATTAGATTCCAACTACCTTTGTGAATGTAGTGGAACCAGAAGCCATCAGGATTTGTCGCACTCGATTGTGGAAGCGTCCCAGCGACTCATCATCCACACGCAGGAAGCACTGAGCCGTGCGCTCCTTGGTAATTTCGTTCTGCAAGTTCCAAACGCCATCGCGATGAGTAAACTCTTCATTCTGGGTGCGACACTGTGGCGAGAAAACAATAAATTAAAAACTGATCTTAGACTAAAATGTTTGGCTAAAGGAACCTTTGGCAAAATGCGACATTCAAATCCACTCATGTTGAACAGCAGATTGGGATTGTCCTTGGAATAAACAGAGACGAAAGTGCTCTCCCAACCAATGGTGGTCACAGAGCGCGGCAGGCGGTTTTTAATGTCCCAAAAGACAGCGCGACCTCTGCAAAACACAAGATAATAGATAATATTCTTTAGTATCACAAAAACTTGATTTTAAATAAAAGGAAAACCTACAGATTGACATCGTGTTTCATTAAACGCATGCGAGCATCACGTGGCCAGCACTTCTTGTTATTGTAGCCCACAATATTCTCGTTGTTGGGATCAGGATGTTCGGTGAGGTAGCGCTGGATGAGATCACGAGCCTCCTCCGCCGAAAACCTGAAGAACAGGTGAATGCGATCGACATAGCGGCAGTACAAGCGAATCGGATGCGCAGTTTCAGTGACTGCGTCCTGGAAGGTGAGGAAATCGTTGGGCATCTGGGGCGGACCAGCCATCTCGCTGGATCGGTGGAGGCCCAGCACCAAAAGATCCAACACCAGGCCATAGTACTGCGTGATAAACGAGGAGAACTGCAGGCCGCGGATGATGCCGTAGCTGTTGGTGTGGTTCATGTCCTTGTAGTTGATCACCACGTTGTTCTTGGCCGTCATGTAATCAGCGATATTGTGATCGACGATCAGGCGAAGCAGACGATTGAGCAGCGTCAAGTCAATCTTCTCGTAGAGCTTCTCGAAGCGGGACTCCAGCAGCACATTGCACTCGCCCTCACCCACATCCCACACATCCTGCAGGTTGTTGATGCCTATAATTGGATTTAACTAACTTAGTGAGGTCATAATTTAAAAAGTCTTTGAGCAAAGCACCAATACATCACTCTAACTAATGTTGTTTCATAGGTCTCATCTTTGGCGTGAGGTTTGCAACAAGGGGATGATCAAATACATATCACTTTGCTACAAATCACACACCCAAAATGCCCTGAACCGGAAAATCCTCGTGTGCAAACTGATCTTAAACAGATCTTTACCTTGACACCACTTGTAGGCCAGCAATGGTGGGGGCTCGGTATCGCTGGGCTTGATCCATGGCGGGAAAAGACGTCGCTTGTCTGCCTCGTACCACAGATACTGATCCAGATATGCATCCGTGATCTTCTCCAGCGGTTCCACTTCATAGACGGGAATCAAATGACTGTACAAGTCCATAAACTCAATGCCCACCTGAAAATCAAATGAAAATCATTAGATCAAATTATACAAAAGCTGGAATTCGGATAACCAACCTCCTTAAATGCTCTCTGCGTGAGCAAATGACGTTTGATGCGGGACAAGGCCTCATGCGGATTATCGTATGCCTGTTCAATCAGACCCAACTCCTCGCGCTGACTTTGATTTAATCTGGACTTGACGCTGTACGCCTCCTTCAAACGTTCCAGGGCCAGGATGAGTAGCTTGGTGTCGTGTTTGTACGATAAAGGCGGGAATGGAATGGGCGCAAAGCGACGCGACTCCAGCCAATGCACGGTGGTGGTGTAAATGGCCACAGCCTCTTCCGGTGATATGTACGGACCATCCTTCAGGTAGTTGTGCTGTCTCTCCTGCTCAGCCTTCAGGTAAAGACGCGTCAATCGCCCCAGATTCTTCTTGCACACTGTCTTGTCCACAGTGGCTCCTCGGCGGATACGTTCGCGATTGTAGTGGGCCGTGTTTGTCCACCAGTCGGCCTTCATCTTGACGTATCGCAGAATCATATTCTCAATGGGAATTGGCAGACCGGGCACCTTCCACGGAATGTTCGCCTTCCAGCAACGCCACGCCTCCGAAAGATGCTGCAGAATGGTACGCGCTTTGTTCTGCTTGATGCCCTCGGGCATCATGTCCACAATGTCGTGCATCACCGAGGCACGCAGTTCCAGATCGAAGTGGGATTCGACGCGCTGCTTGGTCACCGTTTTGGCCACGCCCTTCGAGTGTCGGCCCTCGAACTGACGCGACAGCAGATTGCCCAGCCAGCGTTCCAGCAGAGGAGTAATGCCGCGCATGAAGAACAACCAGACGCGCCAACCCGGAGCCCAGAAGCCACATCCGGGTCCCTTGCCCACAGGTCCTGTGTTGAAGCGGTAGTATATCAAATGCTTCAGATCCTTACACATCCGAATCTGCCTCATCAGCTTGTATTTGTAGCGATACATGCCAGTCAGCTGGCCCACATGGGCGAATATGTACTGCAGTCCGTCGGCCAACTGAAAGGCGTCCACATTGTTCAGCCGATACTGAACGTGCGAGTCAATGATTAGCTTGGTCAGACGCAGGATCTCACGGCACAAATGGAAAGCTAATAGATAAAAATAAGAGTTAGGCATTACCATTCAAATGGCCAGCTTTAAGTTAACTTACCATTTCCGAAACGTGACTTTTTACGTTCCTTTGTGGTAAGAGTCTTCACCGGCTTCAAGTTGAAGTTGTAATCCAAATGCAGGTAATTAAGATTCTTTCGGTGAATCAAGAGGTTCAGCATGTTGTATCCCTGACGGCAAACCTGCAATCCAGCTTCAACCCAATCCAGGGTGGTGGTCTGGAAGAATTTCGTGGCCTTAAACGAACGGAAGAGGTAGCTGCAAAGTAAAATAAAACCTTTAGGAGGGTCTATGATAGTTTAAGACCAATTTAACTAACCGTTTCTTTTGTGGCTTTGGTTTGCGGTGCTTCAGTGCATTGAGCACATAGTATTTGAGCAGTTTTTGGTAGCTAACGCGCACTTTGACCGGATGACCAGGAGGACAATGCTCCTTGTACCAGCACTTGACTAGGGGAACATCGATGGCGCGGCGGGAGCGGCCAGAGCGCATGTTAAAAGGACGAGGTGCCCAGAGCAAGGCAATGCCGTTCGCTGTATTGTCAGTGTACAGGGGAGTGTCCTGCAGGAACGGTTGAACATCGTCCGGAAGCGTAAAGTCTTCATCGTCATCCGGCAGTGGCTCCTGCACTTTTGAGTTCGCATTGCGATGGGATATGGGGTTGATGAGCGGATCAAAGTAAAAGGCTGGCAGATCTGGATCTTCGGTCTTGATATAGACCACGTTGGGTGTGTGATACCTGAAATGGAGGAAAGCCATTGGTTACTTAAAATTCTTGTTTCTTGAAATGAATTTAAGTGTATGCAACTATCAGCAGTCACGATTTATTCTTAACAATCGCCACGAACATATTCATTGCAGCTCCCGTTTATCGCAATATTGGTAGTAAGCTGGGAGCTCGACCTTTTTCTAACGCGACATGAAGCATTTCCAGCGAGGTTGTTCACTTGGAAACGTTACTACCACGTAAATAAGATTTTAGATTAATAATTTCTGAAGAATAGGAGGTCTTACCAGCTCAGGTGCACGAAATGTGGCATATTGTTGTACAAGTAGGGAAAAGCAATGCGGTATTCCGTGCGAATGGGCTGCCGAATGATGACTTTATTAATGTCATTGAACTCGTTCCAATCCTCGTCACTGAAAAATCAAGAGAAAATTAAACTCTGATTATGGGTTTTAAGGCTGCAAAAGCACTTACCCCACATTGTGGTCTTTAATAAGGGGCTCAAACTTGGGTCCACCTGGAATGGCCATATTTAAAGCCTTGGCGGTGAAGAAACTTTTGGGGTCAAACAGATAAAAGAAGTTGTTGTCTACCAGGTCCGTGAGCAGTTGGTTGGCCAGCCGATAAAGAGTGGCCAGCTGGGGCAGGGAAAGATTCCACTTGCGGTAAGTGGAACCGTTTACAAATCTAGCACAGAAATATATGTTAACGAACAAAATCGATATTAGTTGCTAGCTCAAAAAACTCACTGCGTATCCACCAAAGGACGATGATCGTAAAACCACTTGTACACAGCATTATCTTCATCATTGTCCAGCTCAATTTGAATGGCCTCCAAGGGCTCCACATCGAGAACGTTGTCCGCGTAGTCCAGAGGCGGCTCTTCATCGTCGAAGGGCGGGAATCTCATGCGCTTAAAGTGGCGACGATCGCGCTTCTCACGCCTCATCATGATCCACATGGTTCTTAAAAATAAGTGACCTTGTTAATTGAGATTACAAGGAAGAACTAGAGTTATCTCACCCCCATTGAGCAATGTAGACGGGCTCGATGACCCAGGGAATCTCGTTGACAAAGGTGATGGCTCCCGTGATGTGGTACAACACCTGGACATCCCGGATCTGCTCCCAGGGCATGGGCATATTCTCCAGCAGCTTGAGCACCGCATGCGGCATATACTTCAAGGCGCCCAGATAAACGCGCTTGTCGTGGCGATATTTGCGAGAGGTCATGTCTCCGTGATCGCGTATGATCTTCCGGATGTGCTCCGGCGGCATGTCTTCCTTCTGGGTGTCGACGAAGCCGAATTTGCGCTTCTCGGCGAATCGCTTGGACTGCAGATGCTGCCATTTGAGGGCCTTCTCCTGCAGCTTCTCCTCGGTGAGGATGTCCGGTTTGGGTGTGGGAATTTGACCCAAGCCCGGTCCCTGACCGCCAGCCGGGATGGGAATCCCGTTGGCATGGCCACTGGACGGCGGCAGCGGTGCTCCTGGTGGGGGAATCTGCTGGATTTGGTTGGCCATCTGCTGCTGGGCGTGCAGTTGAGCCTGCTGCGCGTGGGCCGCCGCATAGGCCTGCTGGGCCATCAGCTGCGCCGCCCACGCATTCTGCGGTATCATGTACGGCGGAATGGACATCGTTCCACTGCACTTTACCTAGTTTATAATCAATAAAATGAAAAAAATGTACACTTTGTGACACACAGACACGTTTTGTTCGGTGGGGGGAGAAATCGAATGCCGCCGACGTCGCGGTCTTTTGCAATTTTCACAACGCCGTAAAAAGACTATTATTTCGCCCTCCCCAAAGTAAAGTTCTTATTAACTTTATCGCTCATCAGTTAATTGTTAAGTATTTTACCTATTTTTCACTTTTACTTCGTTTCTTCGGCTGCAATTCACAATTTTCCCGGTTTGCAAAACGTTTTTCTTTTTCATGCGGCAGCCATTTATTTCCAGTTAGAGATGGGGAAACATCGATGTTAACGTCCATGTCATCGAGGTTTTAATTCGCCGATAATATCGATGTTTTTCCAAGAATTCCGCAAGCGAAGACAAGGTAACAACGCAGAGTTCTCGATTTTTCTAATGTAAATAACGTTATCAAAATGAAAAACGGTTATTTAAAAATCAATAATCTACTAATTTTTTTTAGATTATGCATGATCTTATCCAATTTGCGCATACCTACAGGCTTTTTTTTACCTAAAATGTTGTAACATTAAAGTTAACGATTAATACTTTTACTTTAAAGATAAGAAAAGTAAACTAATTGTTTTGGTCGTTTCCTCGCTGTTGTTTTAAAAATTGTATAAGATTGAAACGTTGTAAACAGAACTATAACATTTGCCTTAAAAAACAAAACAATATTTCGTTTAATTTTAATTCTGTAAGTTTAATTAGATGAAATGATTCATGAGTCAACGATTGTGTGAACAGAATTTATTAGGAACTTTTTAAGCTAGTGCGTCAATATTATTTCTTCTGACTGGTGATTTCCCAATTTTTCTCATACAGTGGACTCTCGCTAGCAACTTAGAGTATTCAATCTGATAAGTCATTACCCGTAAATGACTTTAAAAATGGTGTTGAATATAAAAAGTGAACTGAAAACATGTTTCGTACAGTCAATTAACCGAATTAGAATATCTGATCGAGTCATCAGCCTGACCCTGATATAGAACACCTCTCATTTCCCATCGGGTAACGACTTCCCCAGACTCCAGAATGTTTGTCCAATCAATGATCATGTGCGAAATCGATCACCGGGATGTTTTGCATTGCCCACTATAAATATTGTTGGACGGCAGTTGGGGATCACAGTTTACGGACAACAACGCTTCTATCCAGAACACGACCGGAAAAAGTTGCTAATTTGAGAGAAAAATATAAAAACCCAAGTACATCCCCGTGAAATTTCGCAAATAAGGTCAACAATGGCAAAGGTACTGGTTACAATGGAAATTTAACTCGATGTGTTAAAATAATATTTTTTTTTACATATTTAGTTACTATCCATTCTTCTGTGTCTGGTTATTATTGGATCTATAACTGCAGGACCTATTGAAGTAGGTCGTAATCGTACTTTCTTAAGACACAAATAATAAATAAATATTTTCAGAACAAAGAAGCTGTTGCAGAGGGTGATCTTTCTACGTCTGATACCATTGGCTACGGATACTATGCAGCTCCATCTCCGATTTATTACGGCGGATATGGGGGAGGCTATAAATACGGCGGATATGGAGGAGGCTATAAGTACGGCGGATATTCTGGATATGGCGGTTATGGAGGATATCGCAGTTATGGTGGCGGCTTTTACCGTCCGCGAATTTACCCCGTTTGGGGTTAAATATCAAACTCTAACTGTCCCAAACACCAGTTCCTAAGACCCATAAATCCTATGTAACCAAAGAAATTATACAAGCCCCCTTAAAATTTAACCCTTTCACTGTCTTGCAACCATTACGATGACGTCATTTGGAGTTTTTGACCCCAGACCACAATTAACACCGGCTTTATTGCAATAAAAACAAAACACTTTATGTACACGAGTACGTTCGCATGTGCGGTTTATTATTTTCAGATTTCAATTGTCTAAAACCGGATTTTTGGGACTTGGTCGGCGCTTCCAAAGAAATTGAGGCTTCAATGGCCCGCCAACGTAACAAAATAACAAAATACCGAGTTGGCCAAGCGTAATTACACATCTGAACTTAAGACCTATCTTTAACGATCCACATAAGCTCAATTTTTGGGCCATAAACGGGGTCACGAAGAGAGCTGGACTCCACAGTGGATATCGGCTAAGGGATAATTACATTGCAATCACAAATTTCACTTTGTTAACGTTAATAGAAACTGGTCATCAGATAAGATACATATATCCTTTTTTTTTTCTAAAGAGCCTTTTCTTTTAAGAGTTCAAATTAATATAGATTTAATAGGTTGATTCTTTTGTATATTAAAACTCTTTTTAAAAAGTGTTTTTTTATTTAATCTACAAATAAATATATTATTTATAGACTATAAATGTATCCATTTTGAACTCCTTTTATAAGTTAGTTTTCTGATTCCAGAACATTAATTCTGCAGAAAAACTGTAGCTTTCCGAAATAGTTTATAAAATTAAGTTTCTAAGTTATTGAAAATTGATTTTTGTTGGGAATAAAACTTGTTCAATTGTATTTGAGTTTATTTTTTGGTCATGGCATACATTATGTAAGAAAATTGTACTTTTTACATATGGAAACAAATTCAAAAGGAACCACACTTTATGGGTTATGTTATGTAAAAAGAGTGACTACTGTATTAGGAATTCGTGTGGGCTTGACTTCAGTGCTCCGCTTTTATTTTGGCATCCGGATACAGCTGACATTCACATAAGTTAGGAATTAAATAGGATATATCATGGGCAGAAGATATCACTCCTAGTGGCGACGATATCCCGATCCTGTGTGCCTTTTGTGATGGTTTTTGCTGCTCTTTGAGTGGGATCGAACTTTCCGGGAGTGCAGCTCCTTCTGGTGGTGGCTCTTCTTGTGCCCGTGCTCCTGTTTGACCTGCCTTCCCTTCCTCTGGGCTGTGGAGTGCTCATGGGCTTTGTGCTCCTTAGTGTGGGATGCCACATGGTGCAGATTCCTTCCATGTTTATTGTGATCCTTGGCCGAGTGCTTCAACACCTGGAACTCTTGGTGGTGCTGAGTTAACTGGCGTTTGTGGTTCAAATGGTGTTTCCTTTCATTATCCTCCAGGGGCTGCATGGCCAAGGCCACGGCCACCAAAATAGTGGCAAAAACAATTATCTGGATACGCCATCCGAAGCAATCAGGGCAAATCGGGGGGAAAACATAATTGGAAGGGATTGAAAGTAAATTAAATTGAACCAATTGCCATATCTAAAAGCCCCCCCGATAAGATAATGTCCGCCCCTTGGCACTAAACTCACCGCCTTCAGCATGATGATAACTCCGGGATATTAACAAAGCTTTTGCGTTCGTCTAAACCCAGCGACGTTCCACACTCGACTGTTTTTTCGGAGTCTCTTCCGCTGCTGTTTATATCGTTATCTCTTTTTTTATATATGTAGCCCCAAGCCCCCATATCACATAGTCGGCTATATGTTTCTTTTTTCGCTTTTGAGTGCGCCTGAGTTTTATCGCCCATTAACCGAATAGACAAACTGGCGGTGAACAGCTGTTGGATAATTTTCATAAAGCTGAGATTAGCAGGCCAAGATTTCAGGCCGCGCTTTACAGTTCTCTGAAAAAGTCTTTCTGTTTTTTACAATTTTGAAAGAACATTATCCAAGCAGAGATACACTCCTACAGTGGCTGATAAAAGCTTTGAACCAGTCGTAAATAGTTAGTCACAGACCATTTTATTTTAGAGATAGCTGAACAATAACCATAGCTTTACCGCAAAAATAATCTTACCTTATAATGTGTCTAAATTAAAAATTAAATCTTTAAATAAATTAAATAAAATTGAAGAAGATAAAATTATTCGATATGTCCATTATGTTATATTAAAGCTCACTTCAAGTTAAATCTTTATATTGATTGGATTATAGATATACATAATAGCTTAAGGCTTTAAATCTTTAAATCTTTAAAAATTTCTGAAGTCAACTTATGTTCATTAATTACAGAAGTCTTTTAATAATAAAAATCTTAAGCAATGATTTCTTTTGATCTCTAGTGTAAATAAAAAAAAAATTATCTATAGGAATATATTTTAATTTTTTATAGTATAATCTTAACCGTGAAACTTAGAAATTAATGACTTCAAGGTTATCAAGTATAATATTTGCGATGATGACAAATTGCAGCCATTTGTATTATTCTATAGTCTACTTCTCTGATAACAAATTTCATTGAAGAGCTTCGTAGAGAGCAAAAGAGTATCATCAATAGCCACAGTCAGCACTCCCATAGTGGACTAAAACTAATCGCTATCTTTGTAAATTCCAATCAGGCTGGTTCAATTTAAAAGCAGTAGAACAATAGAAACACTCCAACGATGAAGAATCGGAAATTTTCTCTTATCTGGAAAAAAGAGGAAAGGAAGAAGGGCGATCTTGACTATAAATTTAATCATGAGTTTTGGCCGTGTTCCACTCGAGATATTTGGAAACAATAACAGTGCGCACTGCCACTGGACGTCATAAACAGAATACTTTTAATAATCGGGTCGACACATCATTAATTTTGTTAAGTCATATGTTTTATTATTGGAATCAATAAAATCATACATTTAAGTGGAATAAATAAAAGAGTTGCTCGCGTTTGCTTGCGTGGTGTGGAATCTATTGATTAATAAGTTTATTAATATTGGATATTGTGTGTATATGGATTTTTTACTGGCGTATGTGAATTAGCTTTTATGCATATGTGTGTTCCCTTTCAATCCTCCTCCAACTTTCTTCCTTCCCGTTTTCATCGCTTTAGGCGTACAAAAAGTGAATAAAAATATATATAATATTTTCTAGTGTGAACAAATTGGGATTACCATACATAATATATAAGCTTAATTGTATAAAATATTGAAAATACATGAAAAGAAATATAGTGATTACAACAAAAGCGAAAACATAAATACAAAATATTGATTCACGAATAAACTTAGGATTAATACATTTTTTTGTTGACATTTTCTAGTTTTAAACTTTTTTTTACATTTTCTTTCGTATTTTTTTTTTTGATTATAGTTTAATATAGTAATTTGCGATCAGGCTCTTAACGTGGCTGGCCATAATTGAAGAACTACCAAAAAATGAAGCCGCTCCCCGGAGACAATTTCAAAACGATTTTCGACTACGTAAACGCGAAGACTTAAAAAGGTTGATTTGCTTCTCATTGAACACATTGGAGGTTCAATATGTCATTGGATCTAAGGAGAGCTAATAGAGCTATTTGCTGAAACTACGGACTGGATATAGGTTTGTTGCTGATTAAGATCTTCTTCTTCTTTCGTTTTGTGTTGGCGAAAATCGTCCCCTTGCCGTCGAACTACTCCTCGATGCTGTAGAGGAAGTAGTGGTTCTCGTTGTCGTTGATGGCGGCCGGTGGTGCCTGCGGTGCCTTCCTGGATAGCGGCTCGAAGCCCATGAAGAGGAACGCCTCGATGAGGCGAGCCCGCTCCGGCTGATCCTTGGGCATGACCATCACGATGCCGTCCACCTCCAGCTTGTCCTCGGCGAACTCCAGCAGCGAGATGAAGGTCTGCTTGGAGCCGGCCGGCGGCAGGTCCTTTGGTAGAGCGACATACAGAATGTTGTTGACGGGATTCAAAATCGTGTTCCAATTGGTGTACTGGTCCTCGGTCACATGCAGCTTGATGGTGATCTGCACCGGCTGGTCGTGCTGCAAGATCTGGCGCAGCACTTCCTGGCAGTCATCGTTCGAGCACAGCGAATGGATGTCGAGCTGCGACTCCAAGTCGGAGCAATCCGACTGGGAGGACGACAACGACGACGCCCCGGAGCTGCCCTCGTACAGGCTGCCACCAGCCGAGTCGACCGAAGACTTACGGCTGTAGCCTGCAGGTCAACAAGAATATTTAATAATATAATTTAATAATACTATACCAACTATAGTACTAACCCGTTAAGAGCGATGCCCTATCGTGATCTGTTCTGTGGTGGACAGGGACATCAGGACCACCACAGAGGCCCTACGCCGAGAGAGATGCGGTAGGAATCCGATGACATGGTCGTGGCGCAAGACGAAGTCGAGATGGTGCGGAGCTTGCCATCGGCAATACCGCTGTCATTAAAGTCTCTTCTAACGAAGCCACTACTAAACACTGGGTCGCTGTGGGATGGAAAAATGGTTTATTTATTATGGAATCTGTATTTACCTAGTATGTGCCTGATCGATTTTGTAGTGCCGCCTATCCATTTCCTACTTTAAAACGATTTCTAATATTCACTTTTCTCTATAAGTACTTGGTCGGCCGTTTATATTGTTCAAAATCAAATTTAAAATAATTTTCAAAGTTGTTAACTCAATTTTTTTTAATAATTAAGATTAATCTCCATTTTATTCGAATAAAATCAGGCAAAGCTTTTCAAGTAAAATTCTCGAAGCCCCAGTCATAAATAATAATTTACCAAAACATGATGCAGAGTAAAACTCAATAAGTAACTGAACGTCGCAATAGCTAGTAACAAACTAATGGCCACGAAGACAGAACAAAAACCTTATCAGCCGAGCATGGACAATTAAATTAATCGCTTTTATGACGTACCACATTGCTGGTGTTGATTTTGAAGCGTTAAGATAAGCGCGCCTTATCGGAAGAACCGATATACACCCCCACCGATAGTCACGCGGTGCAAGCAACCCTGCGCTCACGCGGCAATTTCACCACAAGATGGCGGATGGCAGCTGTCAAAGCAAACACACCACTCACACACACACAGACAGACACTCGGCATAAACGTTTGTGCAAAGAAAAACGCAGAAAGATATTAGCAGTGCCGGAAAAAACAGTGTTAAATCTATTGTAGCTAACTGAAAAACAGAATAAAACCCAGCAACCATGTCGATTGGAGTACCCATTAAAGTGCTGCACGAGGCCGAGGGCCACATAATCACTTGCGAGACGATTACCGGCGAGGTTTACCGAGGCAAACTCATCGAGGCGGAGGACAACATGAACTGCCAGATGACCCAAATCACGGTCACCTACCGGGACGGACGCACCGCCAACCTGGAGAACGTCTATATCCGGGGCTCCAAGATCCGATTCCTCATACTGCCCGACATGCTGAAGAATGCCCCGATGTTCAAGAAGCAGACGGGCAAGGGATTAGGCGGGACGGCGGGAAGGGGCAAGGCGGCCATTCTGCGCGCACAGGGTGAGTCGGGCACTTTTGCTAACATGTATTCCTACAAAACTGTCTTTTTAATGAAATTATCAATCTATATAGTGTTTTATACCGTCTAGAATTTTCTCCAGCACTGGTATAGGCACTTTTTCTTGAGCACAGCGTAGTCCAGTGATTTCATTTAACAAATTAATCTTAATTTAAAAGTTTAAGCACATTTTAGAGAAATATTTGAGGTTTACAGATCTAGGAATTGTATTTTACTGTATGTTTTTTTTTTTTCTCTCCTAGGAGAGAACAGGAACTTTAACAACATATTTAAGGAAACAGTCGTTTAATCTGTAAAAGTGGGATATATAGTATTCACAAGATGTTTAAAAGGAGTGAGATACATATGACAATCCAGTAATTTCAAGAAGCTGAAAATTTAAATGCTCGAGAAGCCTAGTCAGAATTTCATCACATATCACAAACATCACTTTGTAAAAAGTATTTGTATACTATTATATTTATAAAAAAAAAAAACAAAATTTGTAAATGTAGAAAAGTTGTTAGATAGTTTTATTTGGAAATTCTTTTTAATCGCATTTTACCCGGATATTTTCCCCAGAATAAAAAAAAATATATATCCAATTTTCAAACAGTGTGTAATTGAATAAATAATTTTATTTTTATTGACAGTCTTGTAGTAAATGTATGCCTCCATCCCATTATGCAAATACTAATAATGAAATCGCCTTTCAGCACGTGGCAGAGGAAGAGGCGGGCCGCCGGGCGGAGGAAGAGGCAGTGGCGGACCGCCAGGAGCTCCGGGCGGCAGCGGAGGACGCGGAGCCTGGCAAGGAGGACCCACCGGCGGACGGGGACGCGGCGGCCTTTAGGAACCGACACCTCAACAAGGCATTTCTAATCTCTAAGTTGCGGGCACTATATTATTAGCGGGCGGGTTGAACTTCTCCAGATTTTTTGTAAAGTATTTACCAGGCACGAAAGCCAAGAATACAAAAGAAACTTGAATTTGAAAACGGAGCCTGTTTGCTTTCTAGAACGTCAAAGCAAGAACGCTGAAAGGCGGGGAAGGATTAAACACCATAACCAGAGGACGCTTACAAGTTTTGCTTTAAACTAGTTAAGCACACTGTCTTGAAATCGTCGCCTTTCGAATGTTATACAAAGAGAGCAATTCCATGACAGTATTACAATCAGTTTTAACTTGACTGTCGACGGATAGCTCTCTTCATTTCACTATTCGTGGGAAGTCCTTTGGGATTGAGAAAACACCTCGACAGACAGGACAACGGACAGGTTAGGCCAGACAAACTGGGTTTTAGTTGGGGTTAGTCTCATAGCGCAGCGTCGAATATTATACAAAGAGAGCAATTCCATGACAGTGTTTAATGGATTCTTGGACTGTCGACGGACAGCTCTCTTTATTCACGTATTCGCATTCAGATTTTGATTTGGATTCGGATTCGTTTAGGTGTTAATCAGACATACAATGAGGACGGCACAAAACATACACGGATACCTATACTATATACGCTATATTCGAATTGTTTGCCGGCAGAGAGTTGGTGCGAAATATGCCAGGCATTTTGTTGTTTCCTTTCTGCCGAGCCAATTAAATCAACAAACTGCGCACTTGGCAGCGCTATGTGAATTGAGCGAAATAGAGGCCTCTTCTTAATGGGAACAGCGACCAGATGACCAGATGAATGCAAATATTATATAGCTTAATGGATGCAATTTATGGGAATGGCAGGCAGTGTTAATGCACAGGAATCGATGGCACGTGCAGGGCAATTGAAAATGCTTTCCCAATCAATCAACAAGTAAGTGTGCTCTGCGAACGTACCCTGAGATGTGCTGGCTCTCTGGCTGTGCCACCATATCACTGGATGTCGTCATTGCCAAGTTAAATATTTAGTCGGGTGGGGATTTGGATTTATCACAGCTGCAGTTTACTATCTGTCTCTTCGTTTGCGTTCTTTATCTATCACAGGTTGCGTTGCTTGCGGTCCTTCGACGGGGCTTGGAATTCACATCGAAAAGATCTGTAATCTGGCCTGCTTTTCTGCCTCTCTCCGCAGTGGGGATGGATTTCTCGGCGATCCGTGAGGTGCTGTGCTTTGGGCGTTTGTCTGGCGACTGACGACATCCAAACGGTGGCGGCATCATTTATGTGATTAAGTAGCAGCGACTAGGAGGCCCCACGAGATATATGTACATACATATACCCCAGTACCTAGTAGTCGAGAGATATTCAAACGGGTACAGTCGGTCGGTCAGATATGGATCTGAATTGGGCGGGGGGCTGACTCACAGCACAAACCAAGGTCAAATGGAGCCCCTTCTGCCTTGCAAAATTGTGGTGAATCGCTAAACAAATAAGGCGCAAAAACCTATAAGCAAAAATGCCGGCAAGCTCAGCATTTTATTTACAAAGTCGCAATGGACAAACAAAATATACAGAGAGAGCTCACGCTATTAATATATCGGGAAAATTAATATACAACAAGTCTGAGTGAAATGTGTTTAGTGCGCCGTTTTAGTCAAGTCTAAAAGCATGACTATTTTTATTTTCGGCTGCACGTGTCTGTCATTTTTTTGTAGCCAAACTTACGAAAACAAAAAATAATGGCTAATCAAAATGGGCGATAACTGCCATAAACAAAACTCTACAGATATACGAAGAGGATTTAGAGAGGGAACAAAAGGGGTACAGTTAACATGACGCGCTGCCTGTATAGCCTGTATTATGCATGAGTAAAAGTATATGAATACTTGATACTTGTCTACAAACACCAGAGGTGCGCTTACAATAAACTTGCTTAGTATTAACTTGTTTTAATAAGCAGTTTATTATTTGAAAATATATAAACAAAAATTAGTAGGGTGTCTTTATCGTGCCCAATAAACCAAGTTATGGCTTTATGCTTAGATTTAATTGACATTGAAAGAGTTCGTTTTTTAAATTAAAGTCAAATTTCTTCAATAGAACCAAATTGAGTAAGTGTAGTAATTAATTGAAAGTTGCCCTTTCTATCTACAAAAACGGTAAAACAATTAAATCAGTAAAAAGTTCGGTAAAGTTTTGAAGGTTATATTTTTGTGACCCCAACTGTATGAATGTATTTTTCTTTACCACGAAAACGTGTAACGTATTTTTGCTAATCTTTCAGCACCGAATCACGTGTCATCGATACTGAGTAATGCCGTCGAGTCCTAAAAAATGAGTTTTTATATAATCAATCTTTGTGTTCAGATTTTTTTTCCCCAGTGCGCGATGGAACACAAGTTAAGTGAAACAAAGAAAATTAAGCCATATAGATAGTATTCCAACTAGATTTGATCTAGATAAAATATAGGTGATAAGACGACGTAATTGGTGCGCTTGTGTAATCAACATCAAAAGTTAACGTTCTGCTTGGACAAATATTAGGGGATCAGGGTACAATCTTTCGACAGGGAAAACAGCCGTAAAAAAAAGTGTAGTAGGCAAACAACTAAGAGGATTTCAGACAAAGGCAAAGCAAGATGTCATAAAACAAACACTGGAAATTATATGGTATTACCAGAACAATAGGTGCGATAAGGGATACGATCTCATGTGGTTGAAAAAGATAAGATAAAATCGAGATAGCGGGAGGGATGGAAGACGAAAGAAGCTGCTAGAAAAAGAGCCGATGACCCAATATTGCTGTATATTCATACATACATACAGCCATCTCTCTCTTTCCCACCACTTTATCTCACTTGCCACACAAAAACAAAAACAAAGCAAACTGCAATGGCGAGTGGAATTTTCCCTTGTTTACAGCAATTACTCTTTTGTGTGTATGTGTTTGTGTTGTTATATGACATAACGAATGACCAAGTTTCAGGCAACAAGGGGAAATTAAGAGCTTGGTAAGAAGTCCCGTTTTTCGCAAAAATGCAGCTCCCAAATGCCAATTCCAATAAGAAGGCGAAACAGTAAACAAAGAAAAGAGAAACACACGCACACACACTTGCTTGGGGATTCTCCAATTGGAAGGGGGGTCAACCTGTAAATAAATGAGGGGTTCGGCGTTGCCAGATGCGCAAACATGATGTGTCTTATCCGCTAATTAATTAATAAACAAGACCTGCAAACAAATGAGCTGTTAAAGCGATTATAGAAAGCGGATGCAGTATTATTATTAACTTGTGTTTACAATCAACAAAAGTATCAAAGTGGCGACGAAAGAACGGCAACCCTGCGGGCAGCCATCTTGAGCGGAACACAAAAACAGTAAATAAATAAATCACAATAAAATAAAGTAAAAAATTTAATTTCACAGCTTCAGCTGAAATCAATTATTTACTTTACTTACGAAACGTGCCAGCACACAAACATGGCCACAATTTCCATTTATTTCAGTCGCCGTTCCTTTTGTTTTTGCCTCTGTGTGCGTCACAGATGATTTTACAAAAAAAACATACCAACCCACACAGCTGCACCAGGCTAGGTGTGTGTGTGCGTACGTGAGAAAATAAACCAACACCGTTACACGATATATTAGCAGGTTACACTAAAACTATTGCACTACAAACCATTACAACCAAACCTACTTGCCACCAATTGGAAAGGGGTCGTGGACTCCCTCGCACTATTTCATTTTTTTTCTTTTCACTACAAAATCGACTATGCACTTTTTCTCTTTGTATATGGCATCCAATGGAAACCATTAACTTACAGTTTATTATTCATATTGGAAGGCATTTTCACTTTTAATGGTTGCAACTTAACGCACTGAGAATAAATCGAATCGAACGAAGTTTGACTTTTGTGTTGAAACTGGCTTTTTGTGGGGTGCAAACCTCCCAGCTATTTATGAAGTGATTGTGTCGAAATTTAGTATAAAACTGACAAATATACCACCGTGTCTTTCCTTTTATAGCATTTGCTGCGGGGCCTTTCAGAAGATTTTTGATTGCTAACGTTTGGTCACACTAATTGATATCGATATTTCTATTCCAAAAAAATATATATATTTTTAAATAACAATGTTCCAATTAAAAAAATAAAAATTTTATTTGAAACTAGGTGAGACATATTTTTGAAAATAAGTACTTTGGTAAGGTGGAAGATACACATCATTTTATAATAATAAATTTTAAGGACATTGTAATATAATCTCCTCAAAGTTTCATTTGTTGTGATATTCAGCTATTATAATATCATATTTGCTTAAATAATTAAATATTTAATTTAGTAAAATCAAGTTATTTTAAAACCTAAGTAATAATTATAACTTACAAAAGTTAAAAGGTAGCCCTACATTTTTTTGTATTGATAACATTCAACAATATTTACCTAGGTATGTAACTAGGTTTACGTGAGCCCCTGTTAAGCATATAAAAGAATTATAATTAAAAAAATAACGTAAATTAAATTTTTTTAAAATATGTCAGTTTGATGTTTTTAAAACTTTTAGCATATACAAAAGAAAGATTTAAAATGTTATACAAATGCACATAAATTTAACATTACTTTTGTAAGCACCTTAAACGGCATATGAGCTTCGGCTTGTTGTACTTTTTCTTTTTAATAGAACAGTTTAGAATAAAACACTAAAAAATTAACAGTTAATTTAAAATGAATATTTAAGGGAGTACCCCAATCCTTTTTTTAATATTAAAAAATAATACTAGTATGTATCGATATTATCGTTTTGTCTTCCAGCTCTAGCCGAAACGCGTTTGGTGTAATTTAGGTTCAGTCGTTCGTTCGTCCGTTGGAGCTAGGCAAAATAAATCGGGAAATAAATCTTGGAAAAACGTGCGAATCCGTCAGCCTTTCAACTCGAAAACCATGAGCGCCTTTCCCGGAACGTTCGCGTTCGACGAATATGGTCGGCCTTTCATCATCCTGCGCGATCAGGAGCGCCAGAAGCGCATCACAGGAACAGATGCCATAAAGGTAAATTATATGATTTGCCTGATCCCAGCGGGGGATTCCGCATCCTGGTGGAGCTTAAATTGAGGTTCTCCCCGGGAAAGAGGCCTACTTTGAAGGCAGTTTCCATAAAAGAGCCCCGAGAATGACGCATCGTCAGTGGAACATTCCAGATGTTCTATGAAGCCGGTTCGCAAAGGGCAGACAGTGGGTAACTTAGGTGAATTTGCTGAATATATCGCATCTGAAGAGTAAGGCGGACCTTTAAACATTAATTTACACTTCACTTGCATTGATAAACAAAGAATTTGACAAAAACTAAACTGTCTGGCAGATTTTGAGGTTAAAACGCCGCCCAGATGTTTTTCTTTCATTGCCGGCTGAGTCACGCGCACTGTGAAAAGTTTGGATATTGAAGGAAGTACAATAGAAATGCCTGACAAAGCCAGTTTTCTTACTGTAGCTTTGGTGCCTTAATATGAACTTATTTATCTCTGTTCAAAAACAACAAATCATTAAATTTTTACTTTTAGTTTGTGGGATTCCAATACATCTATAGGATAAAACCATCTGCGGTTGTCTAAACTGTAAAGATTCTTATTGTACAGATTTACAAAACGGCTTTTTGAGCTATGTGCTTATTTAGTTATCTTTAAAAATATTACAGTTATTAGTCAAGTTAAATTAAATACAAAGCTTATACATAAAACACAACATCAAAGCGTTGTTTATTTATATCAATAAGTTCTAGTTCTAAGTTAGCATGATATTGTAATAGGATCTAGGGTCATTAACTTAATTGGATTAATCAAAGAGATATGAATTAATTTAAAACTTCTTTCAATAAGAATTTAAAAGACTATATCTTACTAATTATTTCTGTTTTCCTCTTGCAGACGCACATTATGGCTGCCCGCCAGATCGCATCCACTCTGAAGACCTCGCTGGGTCCCAAGGGTCTGGACAAGATCATGGTGAGCCCCGACGGCGATGTGACAGTGACCAACGACGGCGCCACCATCATGAAGCTGATGGAGGTTGACCACGAGATCGCCAAGCTGATGGTGCAGCTGTCGCAGTCGCAGGACGACGAGATCGGCGACGGTACCACCGGCGTTGTGGTCCTGGCCGGAGCTCTGCTGGAGCAGGCCGAGGGTCTGATCGACAGGGGCATCCATCCCATTCGCATCGCCGATGGCTTCGAGCTGGCCGCCCAGTGCGCCATCAAGCAGCTGGACGCGATCGCCAAGCCCTTCCCGGTGGATCCAAAGAACAAGGAACCCCTGATCCAGATTGCCATGACCACCCTGGGCAGCAAGATTGTGAACAAGTGCCACCGCCAGATGGCCGAGATGGCTGTGGATGCCGTGCTGAATGTGGCCGACATCGAGAAGAAGGACGTCAACTTCGAGCTGATCAAGATCGAGACCAAGGTGGGCGGTCGCATGGAGGACTCGATGCTGGTGAAGGGCGTCATCGTGGACAAGACGCTCAGCCACTCGCAGATGCCCAAGGAGCTGAAGAACGTCAAGCTGGCCATCCTCACCTGCCCGTTCGAGCCCCCGAAGCCGAAGACCAAGCATAAGCTCGACGTGACCTCCGCGGAGGATTACAGGGCTCTGCGCGAGTACGAGCAGGAGAAGTTCACGCAGATGGTCAAGCAGGTGAAGGACGCCGGCGCCACCCTGGCCATCTGCCAGTGGGGCTTCGACGACGAGGCCAACCACCTGTTGCTGCAGCAGGAGTTGCCCGCCGTGCGCTGGGTCGGCGGACCGGAGATCGAGCTGATTGCCATCGCCACCGGGGGACGCATCGTGCCGCGCTTCGAGGAGCTCACAGCCGAGAAACTGGGTTATGCCGGTCTCGTCCGCGAGATGTGTATGTATTGGTTTCCAGCAACCCAGAGGTCTTTATTAATTGACATTTTCTCCTTTCAGCCTTTGGCACGTCCAAGGACAAGATGCTGGTCATCGAGGAGTGCAAGAACTCCAAGGCCGTGACCATCTTCTTGCGCGGCGGCAACGCCATGATCATTGCCGAGGCCAAGCGCTCCATCCATGACGCCATCTGCGTGGTGCGTTCGCTGGTCAAGGACTCGCGCATTGTCTATGGCGGCGGAGCCGCTGAGATCAGTTGCTCACTGGCGGTGGCCAAGGAGGCCGACCAGCTGTCCACCCTGGAGCAGTACGCCTTCCGCGCCTTCTCCGTGGCCCTGGAGAGCATTCCGCTGGCCCTGGCCGAGAACAGCGGCCTGCATCCAATCGAGACGCTGTCGGAGCTGAAGGCCAGCCAGGTGGCCGAGAAGAAGCCCAGCCTGGGCGTGGACTGCATGCTGTCGGGTGATTCGGACATGAAGAACCACAATGTGGTGGAGTCGCTGCACTCGAAGAAGCAGCAGATCCTGCTCTCCACGCAGCTCGTCAAGATGATACTCAAGATCGACGACGTGCGCTCCAAGAACGAAGGCGGCATGTAACGAACCCACTAAAACACCTCACATCAGATCCAGTTTTAGACTCACATCCCCCCCTCTCGCTTGGCTATCTCTTCACGAACACCGCCCTCATCTCTATGTACATCTGTATTAATTGTTTACTTTTATTAATCCACAAGTTCTTTGGAAAAGAAGAAAATTACATTATACAAAGGGGCTATCCCTGGTCAAATACACACTAAAACCAAACTAAGCTGACTACACTGACTAGACTTTCTTGCCGTTGATGGTGGCCAGTTGTTTGCGATTGATTTGGTCGAAGAAGAGCAATCCTGCCGAGCGTTCCACGCTCTCGGGCGGCACCTGGAACACACTGATGGGGGTGTCGTTGCTGATCACCTGGTTGGGCATCACATAGGACTCCATGTGGAGCTTGTGGTCCGGGGATTCGCACACAATGACCTTGTAAAAGTGGGTTGGCACTGCCACCGTGTTGGACCCGATGACCTCGTACTTCACATAGGTCTTGCCATCGTCCTCCTTGTGGGGCAGATAAAGTGGACCCGTGCAGACGTACACATTGGAGTGGCTCTTCGTTAGCTTGCGCACATGCGACTCTAGGGTGTTCCACGCATCCCGATTAAATCCCTGGCCCACCTGTGGCGCCATGTTGGACAGGTAGAAGGTCTCGTCGCAGTGCTTCTGGTGGAGTCGATGATTGCCGGCGGCGGCCATGTGCCCGCGATCGTATCCAGATCGCCGGTAATCCGTGTTCTGTGACCTGAAGAACGGATGGATGCTCTCGTCCTGCCGGAAGTCACATTTGGACCGGTCCACCGCATCGTTCTTGGCCACCGACTCCGCCGTGAGGTGCTCGAACACCCAGTGGGGCACTCGATTCCGCCGATCGTAGGACAGCACATAATCCGAGTGGGATCGCACGTGATCCAGTCCCGGAAAGCCGTACTTCATGATCTGGCCGATCCGTGAGGGAGTCGCCGCCAGGCTGACATTGGCATCCTGGGCGGGAATCAAGCTGGCCGCCGAAACGGTTCCAAAGGTGGGTAATCCCGGCAGGCGGAGAAGGCTATCGGTGGATTCATCATTCCGGTGTTGCCGTTCCACGTGGGTGCCCAGGTAAAAGGCGCCCAGGGCGGTGGCTCCCAGGGCTAGTACGTTGCCCACTCGTCGCCCGCTCATTTCTACGGTTTAATTTATAAATCTGGCCAAAACCACCAGATAACGACCGCTATTGCACAATTCAGGTACTTTAGTGTGACCAGGTTTCAGCTTTCAGAAAAAACTTGTGCCGTTTTGAAAACATGCTGGAAATGCTTTCAAATGTTTTTCAAATTTTGAAAATATGCTAGAAACGTACTGAAACTATACATTTTGAACAAATGTCGATAGCAGGTTTTGGAAGTTTTAAAAAATGGTAACATATATGATAATTTAATAAAATATAAAATTAAAAAACGATGTTTTAGATAATTCTACCACAAGCTTTAGACGGCATTATTCATGTCCTAATGCTGTAAAATAAATGCTTATTTATCTATTCTGTTTATTACCAAGTTATGATTCTAGATGTCTATCGTTAAGGTTTTAAAACTATTTAGAAAGTTGCTATTGATTTTCATACCCTCGACTTCGGAAAACGCTTAAAAATCGGGTTATTTTGTTCAAATTTGTTTTTCGGTGCTCCTTAAGTTTTTTTTTTTACCCTCCGCCCATTTAAAATTTGTAAGTGGAATTGGCTTAGAAAGTTATAGATTTCAAAACTGTTTTTACCTTTTCAAGTATAAGCTCAATGGCGAGGTGGTGTAAACCTAAATTCACCTATTGGAACTGTTAGATATTTTATAAAATAATATAATAATTTTTTTAAGTGATTGTCGTTATATTAAGCTATCGTACATATATGCACATTTCCAATACATATGAGTCAAGATCAAGACGGTTTTAGTGCACTTTGTCTCCCCCTCCACTTTATTCGCTTTTGCTATATCTTCAATCGCAGCTCAAAGCTTTGGAAGCCGAGCTTTGTCGATTCCATTTCGTTTCATTCTACCGAGGTTTTATTTGACGAGGTTATCTGTCCGGACTTGTTTACATTGGAACTCGGAACTGGAGCTGATTAGAAGCGAATCTCGGCCAGAGGCAGCATTCAGTTGAAAGTGAAACGCGTGTGGAGAGGATGCTGGATGTGGTGGCTCTACTGTTGATCGCCCTGGCAGTGGGCTTTTGGTTTGTGCGCACCCGATTGAGCTATTGGAGCAGGAGGGGCATTGCCAATGTCCCGGGTCGGTTTCCCGTGGGCAATATGGAGGGTTTCCGCAAAACGAAACACTTCATCGATATTGTAACGCCGCTGTACGAGAAGTTCCGGAACAATGGATCACCATTTGCCGGCTTTTCTATGATGCTACGACCCGTGGTGCTGATCACGGATTTGGAGCTGGCCAAGCATATACTCATACGAGATTTCGCCAACTTTGAGGATCGTGGGATGTACCACAATGAGCGGGATGATCCGCTGACCGGTCATCTCTTTCGGATCGATGGGCCCAAGTGGCGACCCCTGCGCCAGAAGATGTCGCCCACCTTCAGTTCCGCCAAGATGAAGTACATGTTTCCCACGGTTTGCGAAGTGGGCGTGGAATTGGCTCAGGTGTGCCGCGAACTGGCGGATAATGCCATGTGCGGTATCCTTGAGATCAGTGATTTGATGGCCCGCTATACCTCCGATGTCATCGGTCGCTGTGCCTTCGGCGTGGATTGCAATGGCCTCCGGAATCCCGAGGCGGAGTTCGCCATAATGGGCAGAAGAGCCTTTTCCGAGCGTCGACACTGCAAACTGGTCGATGGTTTCATCGAGAGTTTTCCCGCTCTGGCTCGCCTGCTGCGCATGCGTCAGATCCATCAGGACATTACGGATTTCTATGTGGGCATCGTCCGGGAGACGGTGAAGCAAAGGGAGGAGCAGGGCATCGTGCGGAGCGACTTCATGAACCTGCTGCTCGAAATGAAGCAGAGGGGTGAGCTCACCATCGAGGAAATGGCCGCCCAGGCTTTTATATTCTTTGTTGCCGGCTTTGACACATCCGCTTCCACCTTGGGATTCGCCCTGTACGAGTTGGCCAAACAGCCGGACATTCAGGAGAAGCTGCGCCAGGAAATCGACGACGCACTGAAATTGCATCAGGGGGAATTCACCTACGAATCCATGCAGGAGCTGCGCTACATGGAACTGGTCATTGCAGGTGGGTTTTATTTTAATAATAATCATAAATATAACAGCTGATACATTTACAAAATTTTTCTAGTGCTAAGTATATTTGTGCTAAGAAGTAAGGAGTTTAACACGAGTTTAATATTATCCGCTAATGCAATCATATTTTTTTTTTTAATATTTTTTCACAGCAAATGTTAAGTTCCAACTACAAAAATGGGCTGATATTTTTGTGACATCATATTAGTTTTGGCTAATTTGGTATAATAGCCAGATTATAATACTTTATGTTAATGTTCTGATTGATCAAAAATATCATAATATTTGGTTTTTCTAAAGAGTGTTTCGTGATAGAACTCTACAAATTATATAATTATGATTTTGTTTACTTATCAAAAAAATGTTAAGCCTTATAAATGTTTACTTATGTTTATCTATTTAATATCTTACCTATTCTATTATTTAAAATAGTGTTAAATCTATTTCCATTCCAGAGACGCTTCGGAAATATCCCATTCTACCCCAGCTCACTCGGATATCCAGGCATTTATATGCCGCCAAGGGTGACCGTCGCTTCTACATTGAGCCCGGCCAGATGGTGCTGATTCCGGTCTACGGGATCCATTACGATCCGGCCTTGTATCCAGAGCCCCACAAGTTTATACCGGAGCGGTTCCTGGCCGACCAACTGGCCCAACGCCCCACCGCATCGTGGCTGCCCTTCGGCGACGGACCCCGCAATTGCATTGGGATGAGGTTCGGCAAGATGCAGACGACCATTGGGCTGGTCAATCTGCTCAGGAGCTTTCACTTCAGCGTCTGTCCGCGAACTGACCCCAAAATCGAGTTCGTCAAGTCCAATATTCTGCTGTGCCCCGCCAATGGGATCTACTTGAAAGTCCAAGAACTAAGCCAACTGAGGAGATAGGGATTCATTTTAGTTTTACATATTATTTTACATGTCATAACACATTTTTTATCAATCTACACGGGTAACTATAGCATTGATTATGGCTGCAGGCGATTCCGCTTTATTATTACCTAATCTAGGTTTTTTGGGGGTCAGACATTTGATTATTTCGTTTTGTCGTCACAGGCATTATCAGAAAGAAATGCGTAAAAGAATAGGTATTTGGTATAAGCATTTCACCAGGCAGTGCCATATTAAATAACTTTTCTTTTCTTTTACAATAAACAATAATTCTCGAGAAGAGTGAACAATAAAAATAATTCATAAGATTTCAAAGCACAAGTTTGTTTGACCAATATAAAAAAAAAACTTTAAAAGCCATTTTTTTTGTTTAAGAGTTTCGCTTAAAGAGAAACTGTGCTTTGCGATTCTCTTGACAAACAAATGTTTACGATTTTATCAGGAGAATTCACACGCGAGCTTGGCGATAGAGATAAAAAAGAGCTTATAAACGTTGTATCATCCCATTGGAATCTCAGTTTAGAGCGGAACGTGAACCAGAAATGTCGCTGTTACTTTCGCTAATCGCGCTTTTAGTGTCGTTGCTTTTATTTTTCGCACGACGACGTCATGGATATTGGCAGAGGAGGGGCATTCCCCACGATGTGCCACACGCACTCTTCGGAAACATCAAGGACTGGCCCAATAAACGACACATTGCCCATATCTTTCGGGACTACTACTTCAAATACAAGGGCTCTGATTATCCATTCGCCGGCTTCTACTTCTTTTTCACACAAACTGCTGTGGTGACCGATTTGGAACTGGTCAAGAGGGTCATGATCAAGGACTTTAAACACTTCGAGAATCGGGGTATTTTCTACAACGAGATCGATGATCCGCTTTCAGCCACTTTGTTCAGCATTGAAGGTCAGAAGTGGCGGCATTTGAGACACAAGCTGACACCCACTTTTACGTCCGGCAAAATGAAACACATGTTCCCTATAGTGGTGAAAGTTGGAGAGGAAATGGATAGGGTATTCAGTGATAAAACTACTTTGGGTGAAAGCCCAGTTCTAGAGGTTGTGGATCTGGTGGCACGTTATACCGCCGATGTAATAGGTAACTGCGCCTTTGGTCTGAACTGCAATAGTTTGCACGATCCCAAGGCGGAATTTGTGACAATTGGCAAACGGGCGATCACCGAACATCGTTATGGAAATATGCTAGATATATTTCTATTCGGCTTTCCCAAGCTATCGCGACGTTTGCGCCTAAAACTAAACATCCAGGAGGCGGAGGACTTCTACACGGCAATCGTTAGGAAAACCATTGACCACAGATTGAAGACCAACGAGAAGCGGAATGACTTTATGGACAGCCTGATTGAAATGTATAAGAATGAGCAGGCTGGCAACTCCGAAGATGGGCTTACGTTCAACGAGCTCCTCGCCCAGGCTTTTATCTTCTTTGTGGCTGGGTTCGAGACGAGCTCTACGACCATGGGATTTGCTCTCTACGAGTTGGCCCGCAATCAGGGTGTTCAGGATAGACTCAGAGAGGAGATTAACAATGTTCTAGAAAAGCACAACAACGAGTTCACCTACGAGGGAATCAAGGAAATGAAGTATCTGGAGCAGGTCGTCATGGGTGAGTTTTCTAAAGTTTAACTGTGTTCTTAAGTAAAAATTGACTATTGCTTTTGCTTACAGAAACCCTTCGAAAGTATCCCGTGCTGGCACATCTTACGAGAATGACCGAGACCGACTTTTCGCCGGAAGACCCAAAGTATTTCATTGCCAAGGGTACAATCGTTGTGGTCCCAGCTCTGGGCATTCACTATGATCCGGATATTTATCCCGAACCGGAAAAATTCAAGCCAGAACGCTTCACCGACGAGGCAATCGCTGAGAGACCGTCGTGCACCTGGCTTCCATTTGGCGAAGGTCCCCGGAACTGCATTGGTTTGAGATTTGGACTAATGCAGACCTGTGTGGGATTGGCCTATCTGATCAGGGGCTATAAGTTTAGTGTGGCCCCGGAGACACAAATACCCATGAAGATAGTCGTGAAGAACATTTTAATATCAGCTGAGAATGGTATCCACCTCAAAGTCGAGAAGCTTTCTAAGTTAGATTTTTAAAATGAGGTTCCATTGTACTATAAACTAAAGCTAAAGTTAACTTATTCGCTGCAATGCATATTTCTGTAAAAACTTGTTAAACGCTCTGCAAGACTTTAAAAGTACGACAAGATAAGTTCGATGAAGGATAATATTCAGTGTACAATAATAATCTTTTCCTAATAAATGTCGTAGTAAAACGTTTAGTTTAGTTTAGAGAATGACGCTGTTACTGTGTCTTAAGAAGGTTATGAGTATTGAGTATTATTGTGTAAACCTAGCTAATAGGTACTATAAAAAGTACTCAATACCTCTCCCATTAGAAACACTTTGCAGGCATGCGTTTAGGCACACCTAACGAAATGACCGAGTCAAAGTTTTTACCTAAAGTTTCCAAGTACTTTACTCCAAAGGGCATAGTAGTTGTAATCCCAGCTCTGGGGGGCATTCACTAAGATACTAAAATACTTTGAGAACCGGAAAAATTTAAGTCAGACCGCTTTACGGATCACCTGTTCTTTTTGGGTAAAGGTTCACGGAACTGTAGTGTATTGCGATGTGGATAAATGCAAAACTATGTGTGATTGACCTATCTTTCTGAAAACCTATATTTCGGAAAAACAAATAGAGGTTTCACTTAAGAGCCTTCTTCTTTCATCCGAAAATGGAATTAATCTCAGAGTGGAGAGGATCTCAAAACGACATTATACAATATTAATTATTTCTTAAATGTGTTACTTTGTTAATTTTAGAATGAAAGAACTGAAGGCAGCATTAGTGTACCCTCATTTATAAGCCCAGTTCAAAGAAACTTGAACTTTAGAATATTTTGAAACTTATTGACGTTCGGTTGCATTTGGTTTATTGCTCCTATTAACATAGTCTAAGCCTCTGTTATTTCCAATTGAAGCTTTTTTTTAGAAGTGATCTGTTAAACTTTCGTGATTTAGATCTAGCAAAGAGCGCTGGCCGATAGGATAATCCAAAGCTACTTTTTGTGATCGAAGCCACGTGTTTTAGGCCCACCACTTCAGTGTTCTTATAATGGCTATTCTGCTTGGTTTGCTGGTGGGTGCTCTTACCCTCGCTGTTTGGTGGGTGCTCCAAAACTACACCTACTGGAAGCGCCGAGGTATTCCCCATGATCCGCCCAACATTCCACTGGGCAACATCGGCGAATTATGGCGGACGAGGCCGTTGGCCCACATTCTTAAGCGAACTTATTTGAAATTCAAGAACAAGACGGACGGACCTTTTGTCGGCTTCTACGCGTATGCAATGAAGTATATTGTGATCACCGACATTGATTTTGTGAAAACCGTACTGGTTACGGACTTTAACAAGTTCCACGATCGCGGAGTCTATCACAACGAAAGGGATGATCCGCTGACCAACAATCTAACCACTATCGAGGGTCAAAAGTGGAGAAATCTGCGCCATAAGCTAACTCCGGCCTTTACGCCTGTTAAAATAAAGAACATGTTCCCAGCCGTTTTGGGTGTGGCTCATGAACTTATCCAGGTGATCGATGAGCAGATCTCGAGCTCTCCACAGACCATAGAAGTCGCCGATCTGATGGCTCGCTTCACTGCCGACGTAATTGGCATCTGTGCCTTTGGCCTGGAGTGCAATAGTTTGCGGGATCCCAAGGCGGAATTTGTGAAAATGGGTGAGACGGCGTTGAGGGAACGTCGTCATGGCTTTCTGGTGGACCTCCTCGTCTTCGGAGCACCCAACTTAGCCGTGAAGTTGGGCATCGAGATGCTGCTGCCGTCGGTGCAGTCATTCTACATGAATATTGTAAGGGACACCATAGATTATAGGGTGAAGAACAAGGTAACTCGGAACGACTTTATGGACTTGCTGATCGATATGAAATTGAAATACGATAATGGCGATAAGCAAGATGGCCTCACCTTCAATGAGGTGGCTGCCCAAGTATATTCATTTTTCCTGGCTGGCTTCGAAACGAGCTCCACAACCATGGGATTTGCCCTCTATGAACTGGCCAGCAATCAGGATGTCCAGGATAAACTGAGGCTGGAAGTGGACACTGTGCTGGCGAGGCATGATGGGCAACTAAACTACGACAGCTTGCGAGAGCTGACGTATCTGGAAAAGGTCACCGATGGTGGGTATATAACTTATATAACTTATTGATAACTTAATGAAACAATCCTTCCTTAGAAACCCTGCGAAAATATCCCGTTGTGGGTCATTTGGTGCGGATTGCAACTAAACCCTATGTGCATAGCAGTCCAAAATATTTTATTGAGCCGGGAACGGGAGTTCTGGTGTCCACTTTGGGCATCCACCATGATCCTGAGTTCTACCCGGAGCCCGAAAAGTTCATCCCAGAGCGCTTCGATGTGGAGCAGGTGAAAAAGCGGCCACCATGCTCTTTCCTGCCCTTTGGGGAGGGTCCCCGGAATTGTATAGGCGTTCGATTCGGACGGATGCAGGTCGTCGTCGGATTGGCCCTGCTCGTCCACCGTTTTAAGTTTGAATTGCATCCGACGAAGACGTCAGTGCCAGTCAAGTACAAAATCAAGAATCTTCTGTTGAGCTCCGAAGGCGGCATCAACCTTAATGTCAGCAGGATAGTGTAAAAAAAATTTTAAAATGTTAATTTTTTTAAAGAATGTGGTTTGAAAAAGTGCGTTTAAGGTGTTTTATAAAGTTTGTTAGAATATTGTTTTTATTAAAATATTGTATATATTGTAATGAGAGGTTATGAGTTTTATGCCTATTCAAGAATTATTGGAAACCAATATTTGTATTTAAAATTTGTTTAAAAGAAAATGTATAGCACCCCCTATGAACTAAATAAATAAAAACATATGTATTTAAAAAGCAAAAAAAATCTAATATTTATTATTGGTCTTATAAAATTATTAACAAGCACTTTAAAGATACCACACATAAATTATCCTTATCAGTATTGATAACGATTGGATTAGAAGTTATCTAAAATAATTTTCTTGCGGTTAGTCATAATTTGTAGCGACGAAATGAAAATGGTTATATACAAACACCTTCACATAGATATATCAAGTTATCATATTCCGTCGCAATAATAAATGCAGCCAGTCGTTGACAAATGCACTATTTAAACAATGACTATACACGAAAACAACTAAATGCGATCAACTTTCAGGAAAATACCAGTATCACTCGTTATAAGGAAAGTTTTTTTGCTGTATACCATGGGGATTGTGGTCTGGTCGCACAAGGAGAACTTAAATTCATTGATTAGGAAAGCCAGTCCGACACGGGCTTGCATTTGGCCAAAGCGCATTCCAATGCAGTTTCTGGGACCTTCGCCAAAGGGAAGCCACTCCACGGAATCACGTTCCTTGACGCGATCGGCGGAGAAGTTGTCAGGATCAAAGGTATTTGGGTTGGGATACAGGTTCTCATCCCGGTGCATGGCTCCGGCAGGAATCAGGACGGGCATGCCCTTTTTGATAACATATTTGGGATTATCGGGAACCACAAAGTCCTCCAGGCATTCTCTATTTAAAACAGGTAGTACAGTGTACAGACGAAGTGTTTCTGAAGGACATAAAAGGTAAGTATGGTAAATAAGGAATAATTAACCAAACAACTCACCCGATATTACTTGGTCCAGATACACCAGATCCTTCATGCTTTCGTAGGTTAACTCTCCATTGCAATTGGCGATCACCTCCTGGCATTCTTTCCTCACCCGATCCTGAATGTCCTGATGTTGAGCCAGTTCGTACAGGGCAAATCCCATGGTGGTCGATGAGGTTTCAAAGCCAGCTCCGAAAAACACAAACGCTTGGGCGGCCATTTCCTCAATCGTTAGACTAACACTTTCGCCAGTTTCGGATTTTGTCAGGGGACTGTTTTTCAAATCGATAAGCTGATCCATGAAGTCATTCCGACGGATATTGTTCTGCTCCCTGAACGAAACCGTCTCCCTGACAATGCGCAGGAAAAAGTGTTCCGCATCCTCAATGGTGATTTTCATGTGGAGTCTGCGGGCCAAGTTTTGGAAGCTATTGATAAAGGCAATTCCTATGGGTCCATGGCGCTGCTCGAAGACAGCTCGACGTCCCATCACCCGGAATTCCGCCTCCGGATCCTTGAGACTACTGCATTCGATGCCAAAGGCACAGGTGCCAATCACATCAGTGGTAAACCGGGCTAGGATATCCTTAACCTCCACAATAGGGGACTTTTCCATGGTCTGTCCAAACACTTGGATAAACTCATGGCCCACCTTGACCACGGTGGGAAACATGTACTTCATTTTTCCCGACGTAAACGTAGATGACAACTTGCTCCTCATGGACTTCCATTTCTGGCCATCCAGCAGGAACAGTTGTCCCGACAAAGGATCGTCCTCTGTATTGTGATAGAATCCGCGATCCGTGAACTTGTTGAACTCCTTGATCAATATGAGTTTGGCCAGCGAAGTGTCCAGTACCAGGATTCCGGGTCTTTGGAACCAATAGAAGCCCGCGAAGGGCCCGCTTCCACGGAACTTGTTGTAGTATTCCATCCAGACATCGCAGAAGGAGCGACTAGTTTGCACTCCCGTCAGACTTCCCATCAGGATGTGGGGCTCCTCGCAGGGAATGCCCAGATTTTGCCAGTACTGCAGGGCACGACGCCATTTCAATACTAGATATCCCACCAGCACTACGACGGCCGTGAAGAGATAAATGAAAACACCCATGACATCAGCCTGGGTGTGGAAAAATTTAACAACCGATGAAAATTGCAGCCAACGCAGTTTAGTTCAGCTTCAAAAACCTACTGAACGCAAAAAGCTTCTCAAGCTAGCTGAAAAGCTAGGGAACGAAATAGATTATTATCTATTAGATTTGTTCTATTCGATTTGTATAGCAAATTAATTGGTTTTTTTGTATCTTCTGTACTCTCTTTAAAACTTAATTAGCTGAGCATTTCTCTTTTCGAGAGATTTCTCTTATCAAAACATTTTTGTTAAGATTTCAAAAAGAATTTAAACAGACTATTCGAACCTACCTCAATTTTTTCTCAGTTGGGTAAGATTTTTCATCTCTTGAAAATCTGAAGCTATTTATCTAACACATTTATTTATTTTGTCAAAATTGTATACTTTTTCGTTTGATTTGGATAAGTAATATGTGTACATATGTGCAAATATGCAAGACAAAAATAAACACCACAAAATTGCACATACAAAGAGAGCAAGTTAAACCAATTCCCACACCGACTATGAAAAATAAGACGCTATGAACGTGGTTTAAAAATAGTAAAAAAGAGAACAGTTATTAGGGGAGCTTTGCGAACAGCTTCAAAACAAAAGTAAATAGAAAAGGCAATAATAACGATGACTTGCACTTTATGCATTTTAAGAGTGGAGAAAGAGAAAACTTGTTTATATCGAACCAAAAAATGTATTCAAATTCTTTTTAAGATACTTTCATGTATTCTCTTGGTAGATTTATTAAATGTGAATTTAAAAATATATAAAAACGTATATGAATTAAACGACTATAAAGTCACGACAATTTCTGAAACACCAGTATTGTCAAAAAAGTGTTATTTGCAATTGGAAACCAAAAGCCAGGAATACATTTAAAATATACACTAACAATTTAAAATGAGTGACTATCTGTTGCTAGTAATTTTAAAATTTTAAGTTTTTATTAAGTTATGCAAACATGCTGCCCTCAGGTAAAAAAAAGAAATTGTGAAATTTTTTGCGATCAAGTTGAAATTATTTTCCAAAAAAAAAAGTTATTCAGTAGTTGTCAATTCTAAATGTACAAAAGATAACAAAACTCGTACACTGAAGTGTACGACTTAAATAAAGTTAACAAAAAATAAAACTATTATTATTATTAATTTACATATTACTATTAAAGTTCTAAGAGAGAGGTATTATACTGGATAAAATGAAATTTAACGACCTTAATCTGACTTTGTTGCTCTTTACTGGCTGACGCAAAGAGAGTAAGGTGACTGTTAAGAGAAAGGCGAATTGGGTATGGATCGCCTATAAAAGAGGCGATCGCCCGGTTGAATTATTCAGTTGTAACGAAATGGCCGTTCTACTCGTTTTGCTCGTCGGTGTTCTCACCTTGGCCGTGTGGTTTGTGCATCAAAACTTTAGTTACTGGAAGCGACGCGGCATTCCCCACGATGCCCCCAAAATTCCATTCGGCAATACTAGAGAACTGATGAAAACAATGCAATTGTCGGACATTTTTAAGAGAACCTACGACAATTACAAGAACAAAACCGATGGTCCATTTGTGGGATTTTACATGTATTTCAAAAAGATGGCCATTGTGACCGATATTGACTTCGCAAAAACCGTACTAATCCGCGACTTTGACAAGTTCCACGACCGTGGAGTATTCCACAATGAGCGTGATGATCCGCTGACCGCCAATTTGGTGAATATCGAGGGTCAGAAGTGGAAGACCCTGCGCCAGAAACTGACACCCACATTCACCTCTGGCAAAATGAAGACCATGTTTCCCACCATTCTGGAGGTGGGAGATGATCTGATTCGGGTAATCGATCAAAAGGCTTCTGCAAGTAAGGACTCCCTGGAAATCACCGATGTTTTGGCCCGTTTCACTGCCGATGTAATCGGAACGTGTGCCTTCGGCTTGGATTGCCACAGTTTGTCGGATCCCAAAGCGGAGTTTGTCCAAATGGGAAAAGATGCTATTACCAAACGACGATATGGAAAATCGATGGACTTGCTTTTGTTTGGGGCCCCGAAACTTGCGGAAAAATTGCGTATGAAACAGAGTGTCCAGAAAGTGGAGGACTTCTATATGAACATCATTAAGGATACTGTGAACTATCGCGTTAAGAACAATGTGAAACGAAACGATTTCATGGACATGCTAATCGAAATGAAGTTGAAATACGATAATGGCGATCATCAAAATGGCCTAACCTTTAATGAAATTGCGGCCCAGGCTTTTATATTTTTCCTTGCTGGTTTTGAAACGAGCTCTACAACCATGGGTTTTGCTCTGTATGAATTGGCCATCAATCAGGATGTCCAGGATAAGTTAAGGAAAGAAATTGATAGTGTGCTGGAGAAACATAACGGAAAGCTGGACTACGACAGCATGCGGGAGATGACATATCTGGATAAGGTCATTGATGGTGAGTAATTCAATTAATTGTGTGGCGTTTCTCAGCTAAAATGGATTTAATTTACTTTGCAGAGGCGATGAGAAAACGTCCGGTAGTGGGCCATTTGATACGCGTTGCAACTCAGCGCTACGAGCATAGTAATCCCAAGTATTACATTGAAGAGGGCACCGGAGTCCTGGTGCCCACCTTGGCCATCCACCATGATCCTGAGTTCTATCCGGAGCCGGAGAAGTTCATCCCAGAGCGATTCGATGTGGAACAGGTGCAACAGCGACCCGCCTGCACTTTCCTGCCTTTCGGCGAAGGTCCCCGGAACTGTATTGGCCTTCGATTCGGACGGATGCAGGTCATTGTTGGAATGGCTCTCCTCATCCACAACTTCAAGTTCGAAGTGCACCCCTCCAAGACTGTCGTCCCCCTGGAATACAGAGCCGATGATTTTCTGATGAGCTCAAAGGGCGGAATTCATTTAAAAGTCAGCAGGGTTGGAAAGTAATACAGATGATTCTAATGTAATTATATTCATTGAACAGCCGGAGGCTACGACGCAGTAAGCTGAGTAAACGTACAATACTTGTAAATTGGATACTGTAGACTAAGGTTAATTTATACATGCAATTAAGCTATCTTTAAGTTTATCCCCGCCCCCAGACGGCTACGATGTTTGTCATGGGAATTGGTGGATTTAGAAAAAGACAATACGTATTTATATTTAACACTGTTACTGTTCACGCTATTATGTATTTACATGCCAGATCAATTAATCGAAAAAGTAAAAAAAAAAAAAATAAACTTGTAGCAATTGTTAATAATTGTAGCATTTGAATTAATTAATGACTGGTTTGTTAATTGTATAACTAAATTTGGAATCTGTAAACAAGAGCTGACATCAAACCGGTATAAAATAACAACCGGAAAGTATCTATAGTGCTGGCTTATTAAGCTTCCACTTCGTATAGAGAAAATACCATGGGTCTCGATGAGGTTTCAAACCCTCCGGAGAAGAATAAAAAAGCCTGACTGCGACTCGATGGTTAGATTGACACTTTCTCCTGTCTCAGATTTAAGTGCTTTGTTGTTTTTCAATTAAATAAAGGTATATCAGCTACCATTCAAACTTTTATTTTTTTGCATATTAAAGTACAAAAGTTATCTTGTAAACAAATGTCTAAAATGCCTTGGTATACTTTCGGGCATTTCTTTTTAACAAAGTGTTAGATTGAGGCCCACAAATATGTTAATTTAAGCCATCGTAAATATTAAAACATTAAGTTGACCACAATATTTTTTAAAAATGTTGAGCCGTCTATTTCTTCAGTTTTAGACTCACGCCTCTTTCATGTTTTAGATTAAAGCTACAATCATATTTACGTGTGTTACCCCTTGTGCCACGTTTCACATGGTTCAACCCAACTAAAAAACAATTAAATTCGCTTAGTCCCCAGCTAAAGTTGTCAATGACAAAACAAATGAAAACTCAAGTTATATTATCTATTAGTCCATTTATATGATTATTTCGTATTTATAGTAATTACACTCGTTCCACCTTGAGGTTAATGCCTGATTCACTTGCAACGAGGAACAATTCTTTGTTGTACTTCATGGGAATCGTTGTCTTTTCGCAGACGGAAAACTTAAAGTTCTTGATGAGGAGAGCCAGTCCAAGCCTTGTCTGCATTTGGCCAAAGCGCATTCCGATGCAGTTTCTGGGACCATCGCCGAATGGCAGCCACTCCACGGAATCGCGTTCCTTGACGCGATCGGCGGAGAAGTTGTCCGGGTTGAACTGGTCCGGATTTGGATAGAGTCTCTCATCCCGGTGCATGGCTCCGGCGGGAATCAGGATGGGCATTCCCTTCTTAATCACATACTTGGGATTTTCGGGAACCACAAAGTCCTCCAGGCATTCTCTATTCAAAACGGGTAGTACAGTGTATAGGCGAAGCGTTTCTGTTGGGTACAAGGATAAATAATTAGTAAAGGGAACTCTGTATAGCCTTTTCCATATTTACCAGATATCACTTGATCGAGGTAGACCAGATCCTTTAGGCTTTCATAGGTCAAATCTCCGTTATACTTCTGACCAACTTCCAGGATCTCTTCCCGCACACGGTTCTGGATGTCCTGATTTTGGGCCAGCTCATACAAAGCGAATCCCATCGTGGTCGACGAGGTTTCAAATCCGGCCGCAAAGAAAACGAAAGCCTGCGCGGCAATCTCCTCGATGGTCAGATTGACATTCTCGCCGGTCTCAGAGGTCATTAGTGGTTTGTTTTTCAAATCGATCAACTGATCCATGAAATCGTTTCGACGGATGTGGTTCTGCTCTCTGAAAGCCACCGTCTCCCTGACGATGCGCATGAAGAACTTTTCAATGGGCTCCGCTGTCATCTTCATGTGGAAACGACGTGCCAGATTGGGAAAGCTATTGACAAATCCGATACCAATGGGACCTAATCGCTGCTCGGTTACAGACCGACGACCCATCACTCGGAACTCGGCTTCCGGGTCCTTCAGACTGCTGCATTCGATGCCAAAGGCACAGGTGCCAATCACATCAGTGGTGAACCGGGCCAAAAGCTCCCGCACTTCAATAATTGGATTCTTGGCCACATCTTGGCCAAACACCTCGGTGAACTCGTGACCCACCTTGAGCACAGTGGGGAACATATACTTCATTTTGCCCGATGTGAAGGTGGGCGATAGTTTGTTCCTCATGGACCGCCACTTATGCCCATCCAATAGGAAGAGTTGTCCCGACAAGGGATCGTCCTCCGTGTTGTGAAAGAATCCACGGTCCGTGAACTTGTTGAAATCTTTGATCAGAATCTGCTTGGCCAGAGAAGTTTCCAGGACGAAAACAGCCGGTCGCCGGAACCAATAGAAGCCAGCGAAGGGTCCGCTGCCGCTAAACTTTTTGTAGTAGCTCGTCCAGATTTCGCTAAACGACCGCTTGGTTCGCACTCCCTGCATGTTTCCCATGAACACATGGGGTTCCTCGCAGGGAATCCCCAACTCCTGCCAATACCTCATGGTGCGGCGCCATTTCATCAGAAGGTAGCCAACTAGAGCCAGCAGTGCCGTGAGTAGGAAAGTTCCCACGGCCATGACTCACGATAAATATTTTTTGGTTATTTTTATAAACTAATCAAAGTTTGCCCCTAACGGAGAAGCTTCAATAACTTGTTCCGATCGTTTGTTAACTTGTTCAACGTTTGTCACTTACTGAGCATGCCAAAGCTTTGGCAGCGCTTTTAAATGGTACGGAGCAAAAATATGAAGTCATTGTGACCAACAAACAGAATGCTAGCACTCGTAATCGTTTCACTTATCTTCGCCGTTTGTAGGAAATCTGACTTGACACAGGTTGATAAGTTTTGCCATTGGCTGCGTCTCGACCGCAAAGTACCTGTTAAACAGATCTTGAACGTAGAAAAACTTGTAATTGATAAAATGTTCATTGAGTTAAACAATCCACTTATACCTTAAGAATGCCTATTAATAAAGGGAGCAACCAGATTGGCTTAAACCTGCCTCAACATGATTCAATGGGAGGTAGTCTACAAATTAAAAACTATCTATCTGTTATCTTCCATAAGCTTTGGCACCGATTTAATGGCTCTCAGGCACGTATTTAGACTACCTCCAATTTGAGATAGATTCCGTCCTTAATACCGAGCACAAAAGAGTTGGGATCGTAGACCAGAGGATCCGGAGTTTTCGAGCAGGTGGAGAACCTAAAGTTCTTGATGAGTAGAGCAAGTCCAATGCGAGCCTGCATCATTCCGAATCGCATGCCAATGCAGTTGCGAGGACCATCTCCAAAAGGCAGCCAAGCAACTGAAGGACGATTGGCGGATTCCTCAGGAGAGAATCGCTCGGGCCGGAACTCGAAGGGTTCGGGATAAATACTAGGATCGTGGTGAATGGCACATGAGGGTACGATGACCGACTGACCAGCCTCAATGACGAACTTCGGATGTCCGGGAACCACGTACCGCTTAAGGGCCTTTCGATCCAGATTGGGTACAATGGTATAAAGACGTGAAGTTTCTACAACAAGATTTTGGAGTCACTAAGTTTTCTTAGTTTTCATTTACTTTACTTGCCATTGATAACCTGGTTGAGGTACTTGAAATCCCTAGTACACTCATAGGTAAACTTTTGATTGTGCTTCTCCAGAACCTCTTCCACTTCAGTCCTAACCTTATCTTGGATATGCGGATTCCTGGCCAGTTCGTAGAGAGCAAATCCCATGGTGGAGGAGGATGTTTCGAAGCCAGCTATGAAAAAGACAAAGGCTTGGGCAAGGACCTCCTCAATGGTCAGTCCCTTGACCACTTCGCCATTATCGAGTTTAATTTCCTTTTGATTCTTCATTTCGATGAGCATGTCCATGAAGTCATTCCGTTTGATGTTCTCCTTTTCTCGCACCGCCACTGTATCAGTGACTATCCTGCGATAGAAATCCTGAATATGCTGGGCAGTTCGAACCAGGCCCAGTTTTCTGGCCAAATTGGGATAGCTGCGCATGAAACCGTTCAGCAGAGTACCATGTCGCCTGTCCACCAAAGATCTCCGGCCAAAGTGAAGGAACTCGGCCTTTTCGTCGCGCAGACTGTTGCACTTGATGCCAAAGGCACAGGTTCCGATGACATCCACCGTGAACCTGGCCACCAAATCACGGACTTCAAGGACTGCGTTTTGGGCCACCTTTTCGTGCATCACGGCCATAAATTCATCGGCAACGGACACCACTGTTGGATACATAAACTTCATTTTACCCGATGTAAAAGTCGAGGATAATTTGTTCCTCAGCAAACGCCACTGGGGTCCATCCAGATTGAAGAGATGTGCGGAAATGGGATCTTTTTTCTCGTTATAAAAGAATCCCTTGTCAGAGAAGTTGGAGAAATCCTTAATCAGAACATTCTTGGCCAGCTCCAGATCTATCACAAAGGCAGCAGGGTTGTGGAAAAGGAAAAATCCCACAAAGGGAGCTTTGCTCTCACGAAATTTGTTGTAATGATCTTGGAGTATCTGGTGGAAGTTCTTAGTTTTCTGCAATTCCTCCATGTTTCCTCTGATCGGATGTGGTTTCTCGAAGGGAATCCCCCGACGCTTAAAGAACGTTAATTTCCGGTGGAGATAGTAAGTGAAGATCGCCAGCAAGGCGATCGCCACTTGGAAAAGAGTGTATGTCAACGCCATACTACTATTGATGCTGTTCGGGAATGACTGAGTCGGAAAATGAGCTACAAACTGCTTTTAAATGCTGAATTTTACCAACTTTGCATGACGAAGCAGTCTCTGCCAGCGACATGAAAGTGAGAGTTAATTGTTAATCAACAGTTTTGTTTACTTTTATGCCAGCCACTGTGAGACAGCAAGAACATGTCAGTAAGATCAGTATATGTATAAATATAATGGTTTCAGTGGAAATGTTTTGGGTGCAACTTGGTTTAGCACTAACTCCTTATTATTATACACTTCCAGAGGGTATTATAATTTCAGTCACAAGTTTCCAATGCAGTAAAGTAGACATTTCCGACCTTATATATAATAAATATATTTTTGATTCCCTGTCCATCTGTCCGTTTTTCGTTCGTCATTCCGTTTCTACGCAAACTAGTCTTTCAATTTCAAAACCATCTGCTTCAAACTTTTCCAAAAGTTGACTTTCTTTTTCAGGTCTAAGATTTAAGTCGGACGTCTTTATTATAAAGCTCTCATTGGAAAAATTGGAACAAAAATTATAACTTCGCTGTTTTTAATTTCTTCAAGAAATAGTTATCGAATAATTTGTCCCAAAATATTCACAGCCTCACTGCTCTAAAGGCATAAAAATGAGAATATAGTTGCTATAAAACAAGGGTATTAAAACTTCGGCTTGTTTCCTTTCTTGTATAAACTTGCTATCATCATTTCTGCACAAACTGTTGTCATGTCAATAAGGCAATTTTGACTGTATGCTAACAGTATATGGGTTATTCAGAACCTCTACAGTTCTAGGCATCCCCCATACACGTTATCAGCTTTGCTGGCTCACCGTTGCTTGACTATCATCGAATATAATATATATATTTTTTCAAAATTAAATAGTCAGACAAAGAATTGTCTTCAGCTTTTTTTTGGTTTTCAATCTCATTTAGGCTTTGTTAAAATACATAACCTACCACAAGCGAATGGCTATGACTTTATAGAAAAGAAAACGTTGAACTTTCGCCATAGGATTCTTGGGATTTGCTTTATTACTGACTTTTATGAAAACTAAATAGGTATTTTTAATCAACTAAATCATAATAAAACAAATCATTATCAAATTATATAAATATATATATATCCGAATCGGACGTCAATGAGCTCAAATAGCCAGTTTCTACTGTATAACGACGAGCCCTCACAATATCAATCCCCCAGAAACTGCAGACGATCCCCACTGAATAGCGTCATATAACTAGGGGCTACTTAATCAGTAAAAGTTTGTGTTCGACTGCCAGTGGAACATGATATGGTTATTAACTGCTCTGATATTTGACGGATCTGGCAACGCATTTGTTTACCTTTTCGGTCATATTTGTTTGACAGTTGATTAGATTTCAAGTGCGGATGTGGGCAACAACAACAAGCAATTAAGCCCGGCAGCTTTTCGAATTTGTATTTATTTTGGCTTTACTTCAGCTTTGTGTGTGAGCTTTGCTATTGTTAGGTTTTTTTTTTTGTTTTCACGGCATTTAAATGTTAATTGGGCGTAAAATTTATCCGATAAGCTAGAAAAGCACTCTTAAAAAGATTGAAAGTGTTGTATTTTCATTTTTAGTAGCTAGACTAGATTACTAAATGAGTTAAGAGGAAATTTGATCATTGAAAATTCTCCTTCAAAAAAATAGTCCCAACAAAAAAGTCTACTTTAAATTTTACCCAAAAAAAATTGATAAGAAACAAAAATTAAGCTTAAAGCCCAAAAATATAGATAAGAACCTTAGATCCGCCAAGGTGAATAAATAAATATCCTATAAGAAGGTTACCAGTCTTTTTTTAAACTAAATTTAGTAATTGTAAGTATAATAACATTTATTCTGGTTTTATAAACATACAAATTGTCTGTGAAAAATAATATCTTTACAAGTTAATGATATTAATGGAAATCTTGAAAATTTTAAAAAAGTGAGTTATTATGCATTTAGTATCTTCTTATCTGGTTGTATAAAATTATTGTCTGTAAAAGAAAGTATCTCTACAAGTTTATGGCATTCCTAAGATATCTTTTGTTTATTTAGATTTCAGAAGACGTATAAACAAGACTTCTGCGAGTGTCTGATGGTGCCACCAACATTGAAAATAAAGTAATAATAATCATATGTCCGTCTGGCCTCAGTGAGACGCCTACGCCCCACGACCAATCGACAGACGAGTTCCAGTGTAGCGTACTCGCACTCGCACTCGAAAAAGCGGCAAAGAAACAAATTAAAAGCTCGCACCTGTGGAATGGGGAGCGAGTATCGTAAATAGTTACTTTTCTCCGTAGGGTACTCTCAGTCGAATCGCGCGCTTCGGTAATGAACGTAACCCACCGAGAATCCGGTCGAGAACGCTCCGCAGCGATGATGCATTAGCTCATATAGTTGGTGACACTACACCTGACGACGTTCTAGAGCGAGATCGCGTTATATGTATAGCGCAAGTCAGTGAGAGTAAAAGGGTGGCAAGATAGCGGGCGGGCAGGAAGTGAAGATCATAACCCAATAACCCCCCCCCTCCAAAAAAAATAAATCTGTGATTTCGATACATGTGATTGAGAACAAACAGAAAACGTACGAAATGCAAAACATGTGGATCATTTTCCTGATCATCGGACTAGTAGTGCTCGGGCTGCTGGCTCTGGTAATTATAGCGGCGCGGTATCACCGCGATTACTGGCGCTATCTGAACATTCCGCACGAGAGGCCGAAAAAGCTATGGCCTATCATTAGGCAAATAATGACGCAGACATTGAGCACGGAGGCAATGAAAGCGAATCACTACTCGGCCATATACAAAAAGTTCAAGGGTAGCGGTCCGTTCTGCGGCTTCTATGCTCTCCTGCAGCCCAGGGCCTTGATCCTGGATCGTGAGTTGATCCGACAGATTATGATCAAGGACTTTTGGAATTTCAACGATCGCGGGCTGTACTGCAATCAGAAATCGGATCCACTGTCGGGGGATTTGTATGCCTTGCGAGGCGATAGCTGGAAAGAGATGCGTCGAAAGTTGGATCCCAGCTTGGAGGGGGATCGCATGTCCTGGTTATATGGCTGCCTCTATGGGGAGGCGGCAGAGCTGCTCCTCAACGTCAATTCCACCCTGATGAGTCAACCGCATTCAACGCTGCACATCCAGAAGATCATGCGGCGTTATGTCCTCTCGGCCCTGGCCAAATGCGTTTTTGGCTTGGATGCCCAGCAGAGGTTGACCTTTCCCCTGGACGACTTTGAGCAGATGACGGAGTTGGCCTTGAATAGCCATAAGCATGGCTACCTCATGAACCTGATGATGATACGCTTTCCGAACTTTTGCCGACTGCTGCGCATGAGGCGAACGCCCAAACAGGCGGAGGATTATTTTATAAACCTCCTCACGAAAATAGTGGAACAGCGAGAGACTTCGGGTGTGCGTCAGCAGGACTATCTGCAGCTGCTAATCGAGGTCAAGGCACTGGAGTTGATCACCCATCAGTATGAATCGGATAAGGAGTTGGCCTTCCATTTGCAAAACGAACTGGCCGCCCATGCAGTTGTCTTTTTGAAGGCAGGATACGAGCAAACGGCTAACACACTGTCATATGTACTTTACGAACTTTCCTTACATCCTGAACTGCAAACCCGAGTGAGAGAGGAGGTCAAGAAGGCCATTGAGCGGCACGAGGGCAACATAAGCTATGAATGCATTCAGTCCCTGACTTTTATGGGCCAGGTGATCAACGAAACCCTGCGAATGCATCCCATAACGCCCTACATTCTGCGTCGCACCCTAAACGATTACGCAGTGCCGGATCATCCCAAGTATATACTGGTGAAGGAGCTATTTCTGATTATTCCCACGCATGCCATCCATCACGATCCGGACATCTATCCCGAACCCGATGAGTTCAGGCCAGATCGATGGGGTGGACCGAGGGATTCGCTGCAGGAGCAGGGCACCTGGTTCGGATTCGGAGTGGGTGCTCGCAGCTGCATTGGCATACAGTTTGCACAGCTGCAACTGAGACTGGCCTTGGCTCTACTCCTTTCCGAGTACGAGTTCACGTTGAACTCCAGGAAGCCATTGGTCAATCTGGAAGACGGTATAGCGCTCACGCTGATGCCATTGGGAGTTATAGAGCCCGGAAATGAGGAGAGGGCTGTGTGAGCTGGAGAATTAGGGCCACAAGAGCGGAACTGACATAAGTTAAATCTCTAAATTAGTAAAATAAGGTAACAAGATTCGTCTGAGGAGCTACATTGTCATTTGAGTTTAATGAAATTTGCTAAAACCGATAAAACTCTAGATACTAAAATAAATTAGTAGCTTATAAATGATAACGAAACAAATTTAAACTTTAAGCACCATCACATACTTGATTAAAAGTTATACAAAATAAAAAAGCTTAGAAATTTCCTCAAAATAATGTGCAAAAAGTGATTTAATTTAATTAAAAAGTTTCCGCTTTTTGCTTAATATGGAAAGGTAATTTGCGTTTTAACAAAAAGTCTAGATGACACGGAGATTAAGCTTATGTCAGTATCTAAATCTCTAGCTTTAACTTAATGACGAAGAATTTACTCCATGAACAAAATCTAGAAAGCAATATAAAACTCAGTATGGCAACTTACCTAAAAAATTTGAAAATAAAGGTCAGCTAACTTAATAGGCAAAGAAAACTTAGAGGAGTTAATAATATAGTTTATAGTCAAATACACGCTTTTTATTTAAGAATTTATTTATTTTGAAAAAAAACATTTCTTTTAAAATAGCTTGTTTAATTTCTATTAAATACACATTGTCCTCCTAAGGATGAACTTTTTGATTTGTTAAAATAATTGTCAATTTGATTCATTGTTTTGTTATTTGTGGTTAGTATACATATATCGTTTTTTGCATTGTCGATTGCTGATATGATTGGTTGCTTTGTTGGCCACTCTCAGATCGGTAGCTCAGCCTGTGCAGTGCTTGATTGCAAGAGTTGATCGATTTGTGTCGGATATATA